CTCTGTAGGACAGGTAGCAATTCAGGGCTAAAGCTACACTGCTTCCTCCTGGCCTGACCGTTCAGAAAGGATGATATCACATCTGTATATATCTGTTCAGAAGAATTAGTATTCACTGTTGGAAGCTGCTGTTCTCCAGTGGCTGAAGTCTTATCTATGCAGGTACTATTCACAATGCTGGGAGCATCAGCACTTTCTGACTTGCTCTCTTGGGCAGGCAGTAGATCTGTGCACTGGATGTCCCTGGAGGTGTGCAAGTCTGTGTGTGCTGTTGATCGGGACTCTGAGCCTCCTTTCACCAGAGCTGCCAGTGGTCCACTGCCCAACAGAAGAGGCAGAAATCCCCCCAGGACATCAGGTTTATTCTGGAAAAATGAAAGGTGTAGTATTAGTCTTCATGTAATGCAAGCCATCATAAAACATTCTGCTGAACTCCTCACACTTGCAAACAGCCTTGTGTTTATATCCTCTACCTCCTGCTGAAACTGCACCATGTCCATGAGGTTCTGCGCTCCGGGAGAGAGGGTGGTACCCATGGACTCCATCATGGCCCGCACACGCTGCAGGTCAATGCTGCTCCCCACACAAGGGGGGCTCCCCAGTTTCCCAGCAGGCTTCACTCCCACTACGATCCTACTGATTCCCACTTTCTTTTGGCCACCAAGAGACAGCAGCTGAGCAAAGAGAAACACACCAGTTAAAAACACTTCAGTTTTATCATCCCATAAAAGAGCCAACAAAAAAAAAACAGCAATGAAGTGTATTTGGGGGGATGTTGATGTAGAAAACAAAACACAAAAAGCGGTTTTGTGTTGAGATTGATGACATGTTTTAGTCGGTACGAACTTTACTAAACACTAATAGACAGTTTAGGTCATTGCAATCTCAGTAAACACAACCACAGGTGACGCTAATCTACGTCCTAAAACACTGATGGATACAGATTCACAATACAGAAACAATAAAGAAGTAATATATCCTCAATGGCCATGCTGCTAAATCATTTTTTTTTTGTTTCCTGCTCCTCCTGTTTACAGATAACTTCCAACAACATTAGAGACACAACGTAGGAACTTACCTTCACTTCACAAGATCTAGAAGGACTGTCTAATTTTAGTTGTTTCCGATACAAGGAAATGCTGTCGCTAACACTGAAAAGACAAGAAAAAGATCCCCGAATGTTTCTTCCGATCACGCTGCATTTCAACCGTTATCAGCGATCACATTAGTAAGAGCGGTTATCGAGACAGAAAAGCAAAGGCGCACCCGTTGATTTGCAGGCTGCTAACTCGCTCGCCTCGGCAGGTACCGCAGTACTCGGACCCACAATACACTTCCATGGTCCGCGCTTCACTCACGACCTGCAGCCAGGCCATGTCAGAGCAAGAGCCGGGGGCGCACTGCAGTCGCAGCTCGCAGGGGAGCATTTCGTCCTCGGGGTCCTGCTGTAGGAACACAGGAACGGTCCTGCACAGAAAGACGAGTACAAACCAACACTGCGCTCAGGTACACTGATGAAAAGCAGCAAATTGTCCAGAGTCGCACAGTGTGAATACTTCTCTCTCATAAACGTTGGGGGCGATAATCTAATTCTTACACAAAGGCAAAAGATAACATCGGAACTAAAATAATAATTACAAGATGTAAACGTTTATTTCTCTCGGTTACACTTTACAGTGTAAAAAAAGCCGATGATATTGAATGACGGCCAAATGCTTAGAAATTAGAAATTACTTACTCGCCGTCTTCGGGGTAATCCCCCGGGTTGTTCCCGGTTTGGAGAGACAAGATGTCTTCATGAGAAGACGAAGAGAAAACCCAGGACGAGTGCGCCGTGACCAGTCCATCTTTACTGCCGATCACACACTGCCTGGCCATCTTTGGTTAAAGTAACCAGACACCGTCCCTACTCCAGTCCGTGACTCCCAGCATGCATGGTTCAAACAAACCGAAAGCTAATACTACTTTGGAAAATCCAAATAAAAGAAGGAAGGATTTTAAACCTGATTATAAAATGTTACTTTAAAAGGCAAGAATCTCTTTCCTTGACAGCGGCGTTCAACATGGTTTCCTGCTGTTTTGGTGCCGATAACCGTGCTTTGACTCACACAGAAACCTAAACGTTATTAACCTTCCACTTTGTAACCTGTCATTACTCAGCATCGCCGACAACCGAAGCAAAATAATGAAACTACCCAGCGATTAGTAAATTATTAAAATCTCAGTCAGTGATTAAACCTGGGTATTGTAGTTATCTCACCGTTAAATATCTCACACCGATTAATTTCTCTATCAGTAAAGACATTTTTAAGTTCATTTTAGCATAATAAGGTACATCTTTGCATATTATCACAGAAAGAGACCAGGCGAAGTTAAACCAGAAGAAAACAGCTCACTTAACAGATTTACTAAAATCATCAGAGCAGCGACACCTCTCCAAAAAGACCCAAATCTATAGGGTGTCCATAGCGCGCCTGAGGAAAAAAAAACAGCCTGATCCGGTGCCAGCTTCTCCCTTTTCAGTCTTAACAGCTCAACAAGTATTAACATATATGTCGGTAAATATTAAACTTTGTGACGTGACAGGATGTTTGCACTTCTGTGTGCTCCTTGCACTTCATATAAATGTACCCAGAAATTTAAAGGAGTTTGTGGTCTCTCTAGGAACATCATTAATAACGATTAGACGTTTTGTGTTCTGGATGCGTCGGAAGTCAACAATGTATTTCCCTGGTTTTAGAAGCGTTGAGTAGAAGGTCATTGTCCAAACACCAGGCTGTTCCCAAGTCAATCTGCTTTCGATAACAAGTCTCATCATTATTCGAGATGAGGCCAAGTGAAACTACAGCTCATTTGGTCCGGACACTTAACTGCTTTAAATGAGCTGGACATTTTTTTTCTTTACTCTTATGAGCACATTTAATGTTGTTCGATACCCCATCTGCTTGTGTTATAGTTTGATTCATTGTTACATGTGGCAGGATTCTTAATAGTAATTTGTTTTTAATTATTTTGCTAAGTTTGAAGTGTTTTATTAGATAGCAACCAACATTTTTTTTCAGGTGTTAATAGCATGCAATGAATAACATCTAATGCAGATCTATGCGAACCGCAGCTCTTCAGTGTGCCGTATTATTTAATTTTTCTACAAATGTTGCTCTTTAATCATATATGTAATTAGTTATTAGTATCAGTACAGCAGTTTAAGAGCTGCTTATATGAAAGGACTGCAATTTAAAGCATTGGAATGGCCACGAGGTTAGTGGTCATGATCAAGAAGGAACCTTATGAAGTTCACCATTTGTCTGCTCTTTGCCTTGATTTAAAGCCTGCTACAAAATATTTAAGATGGTATAGCTATTCCATATTTTCTTAAGCTACTAGGAGACTGCCATGTTGTTATTCTTATGTAAAAAACAGTTGTGTAGCTCACCAAGTCATCTGCTGCAAACACGAACAGATACTTTTTTAGGTAGTTAAATACTCTCCTGCTACTATGATTTCTTTTCAGAACTCTGCTTTACTTTCTCATATGGATTTTCTTATTTATAAGTCGGAGTGCGTTGGCGCCCACTGGTGGCTATGTTCTGTAATTCCACCTTTCTCCTGCTGACTTGACAATTCAATTCAAAATACTTTATCCCCAGGGGGAAATGTAGGCAGTAAGAGGTGAAACATACAGCATATAACTAATACAACAACATTACTAAGAAAAAATATACACATAAAAATCAACAAACGGACCATAAATGTAGTTTAAATAACAGCGTGTATTAGTTAAGAAGGTATTGAAGTACTGTACTGTACACATTTGTAGACGGTGCCCTGTCCAATTGACAGCCTATATATAAAACCTCTTTACATTAATTTTTTGCAAATCTGATGGCCTCTGGAACAAAGCTTACTCTCATTTTATTTGTTTTGAATGTGAACGCCGAAAAGTCTTCATGGAGGCAAAAGATCAAAAGGCTGATGAAGGATGTGAAATGGCTCTTCACTGATGGCACAGATCTTCCTCAGGCTCTGCTGGGCCAGAGGTTTTACAGGCTTATTAGAGTTTTCAGAGCTGAGCTTCACTACCTGCAGAAACCGGTTCTTGTCTTTTTGACTGAGTGAAGTGAAGCAACAGATAAAAGAAAAAGGTTTAAATACTTTCGATAAGAGCTAATAATTCTGTATTAACGGAACTGTTCTGAACAGTATATCATCTAAAGCTCGACCATCTCTGAAGGGCGGAAGAAACCCAGTTCGTCATTTTTCATTTTCGTGTTTTACTACATTGTAACGCAACGGGGGCTCAGGCGGGCGCCCTTGCCGTATTAGGTCGACCCCCCACTGTCGGGGACTCGAACCCCGGGACTCCCGCGTCACTCTGCAGGGACCCAGCCCGGTGAGCCAAAGAGAGATCTCTCTACAGAGCACTAGCTGTAGTCCTGCTATCACAGGGAAGGGCGGTGACGTCACCCGCTCTGATACGCCGGCTCTTACACAGTACCTGTCGGCCGTAAGCGTTACAATATGTATCAAGGACCATTATGGAACTGAAACAAGGTTTAGGTTGTTTATTGTTTTAAACGTACTTCAAATTACATTTCATTCTTCGCTTTTGATAGTCAATAATCCTCTGGCAAAGAAAATAAGTTCAAAATGATTTTGATCCTTGAAACAGGTTGGCAAGTTTTCTTCCGGCATTATATGCTGCGGGATATTCTATTTTATATAAACCGGTGTTACCCGTTCTACATTCCTGTTGCTAATTACAAATTGTGTTCAAAGGCCATTGTCAGCGCCTGATCCAGTATGAGCTGTCTCTAGCACACTCACTGTACTTTTCCAATTACAGCGGCACACTCCCACCCGGAAGACAGCACCTCACCTAGAAATCTTCTGTTCACTCTGTGCCCTTTTAACTTAATGGCATAGAAGCACTGCTGGATTATTCATAATGTTAGAACGAAGTCTTTTCTTATTCTCCTTTTTTATTTGTTTTATAAATCGAAGTCAAGCTACAGGTAAGACAACGTTCCAAATATAGTCATTAAGAAAATCCTGTCCAAATTAAACAGTCCGAGATTACAGTTATCATAAAACTACAGGTAAACTTATCATTTAGACATTAAGATGTTCTTATTTTTAGGCATGATTAATAATGACTTAATTTGTATTAATCACCGTGGCAAATATTGTGTATTCACTAATTAATTTTATATGTTTTATTTACAGTTATGGAAAAGCGTAGTTTCACTTCAGCCATGAAATCTGATCTCTAAATTTAAAAGAAGTGTAACAGGTGTGACCAAAAATTGGTCAATCAAAATTGACTTGGGGATTATTTTCTGAAATACTGAAATATTGTTTTTAAACTGACAATGGCAGATATACACATTTTTATGTATTTTATTACCATTTTGAGCACCGTTTTATTAGGTTTCTGTAATTTCCACTTTTTGTTTTTAATAAATCTTAACTTGACACTCCCTTCACGTAAGACGGAGCACATTAATTTCTGAGGACACTTACTCTCATTTTTTAAAATGACTATTGAAATTCTTGGTTCGTTTTCACGTCGTCGAGCGACTGCTGACCATTTGAACGACTTCCTGTCTTATCAGGCTCCTAGCAAAAACAATAAGCGAAGTTCTCGTTTGTAGGAATCTTTAGGAGAGTTCCTACATACTGTACATTATATACATATTTTTTCTCGTCAAATTAAAATTTGGACATTCTTATGAATATGTATTTATACCGTATAAAATAACTATTTATACCTGGAACTGAAAAAGTAAAGGCGTGTCAACCTTTTTTTTTTACTTTTCAATTGGTGCGTATAAGTATACATGCACCTGCCTCCTCGTCGGACAGCCGACCGGCCGGCACTCCCCGGGATAGAATCTCTGTGCCTAAACAAAGACAGGGGTCTGGAGGGGCTTGGTTTACAGACACTCCCTCAGCACAAATATGTATTAACGCGAAAGACAACAACCAGGCAGCACCGACTTGTTCTGTGGTTAAGAACTCGAGGACACAGTAAGAGTCGCACCGAAAACCATCCCAGACCTCGTACGTGGCTATAAATGGACTTTCCATAAAATCAAATGGAAAAATTGTACGTGAAAATTATTCTCACTTTTTAATTTTTTACTGAGGTTGTTGTCAATGCTGTTTATTCACATAAACATAGCCTCTCCATTGCTGTCAGAAATAATTAAATTTAAAAAGCTGCTATAATGTTTACTGGCATAATTTAATGGTACACTCCAGCATAGCCTAAACCTGAAAAATGTATACATTTTTGTTTATTTAAATTGTTTGGTCAGTTTTGGTCTGTTAGACCATTTTATATTACCTGTAGAGGTTAATAAGATAAGATCACTTTATTAACCATATATAATTTCTTGTATTAAGAATTTGTCTTTTCACATACCCCAGTTTGCTCTCCATGAGACACACAGACAGGGAGAGAGAAGCTTGGGGTCAGCCATTTATACGGTGCCCCTGGAGTAGCTGGGGTTGAGGGCCTTGCTCAGGGGCCAACAGAGTAGGATTCCTCTGCCACAGGATACGGACCAGCAACCTTCCAGCCACAGGCACAGATCCTTAGCCACAGAGCCACAGAGCCACCACACTGACCTAATCCCATCCTAAAAAGTAGAAAGACGTGGCACTGTTTCAGCTATCAAAAAGTAATAGCATGTGAGAATCGGCACAGGTGAGAGATGGTTTACAATCTGTAAATGGATGGAGAGGTTCTGTATTAGAAGATTCCTGCTTTTCACATTTCTCCCCTGGATTTCCATTTCTTGGACACTCATTCTCACCTGCTCTCACATGCTTTTTTTGTTCTTCTTTATTTCCCTTTATATCCCTACACACCTGACGGAGACTCAACACCTGAAACATTGTGTTGGAATGAACTTCTACTTGTTCCTTTGTAGCCCACAGGCTGACAGAGCTCTCTACCTCAACATCATGATATTACCTTACTGGTGACCTGTTTCAGCCTTTGATTTTTCTCGATCATGAGAAAACAACCCCCTCTCACTATTGACTGCCTTCAGGGTGAATATGTAGATTGCACTGAGGTGCAGAGGCAGTACGACACACCCTTTCTGTCTCAATCTAGACTTTCATACAACGTGACTTTACAGAACCACAGAGCCACCTTCCATTCTTCATTTGAAGCCAGCTGAAAAACACATTGTGTGTCACCTTTCTTATGTTCTTGTGTTTTGTGCCGACTCTGTTCAGCCCCTCTAAGCCCATTTAGTGATCAGTATCTGATTGATCCCAGGATACCCTCCAGCCGTTTCATGAAGGAAGCCAACATATCAACTTCAACTACTGTACATGGATGTGTAACTTGTTCCATTCTCCCACAAACCTTTGAATAAAGAAGTCTGTAACCAGTGACATATACACTGTTCAGATTCAATAGAGGCTTCCCTGTTATAGGGTTGTCTCTACATCAGCACTACAAAGCTGTGTAAATTTAAAACATTAGCAGAACATCAGGTGAATGGATCTCTTGATTTAACCTTGAGTGGTATAATAGAGTTCAGTTAGGCTGCTAGATTATCGCAAGAGGACACTTTGAACAAAAGAGCCATTATTATGGAATGTATCCTAGTGGATTGGCATTTCAGAGATTTCTGTGTAAGAATCTTTGCTTTTTTTCAGATCTGTTTGCAGAGCAGACATCTAAACTGTCCAGCTACAGAGTTGTCATTCCTAGGGTGGTTCATGACCGGGAAAAAAGAGACACCCTCCAGCCTCAGGGCTCTGAACAGGTAACCTTACAGTGTTTTTATGACTCAGTCTGTTTCACAGAAGACATGCAAAGTCTCGAGGCAGTAAATATCGCCAAACTGGAACCTGAGGTTGGTGAAATGCTGAGAAAAATGGGTTAACTGTATCAATGGAATATTCCAGGCTCCTGACGCAGACAGGCTGATGTACTCGATTAATATTGAGGACAAAGATCACGTTCTTCATCTGGAAAAGAACAAGTATGTTTTTTTTCTTTTACAGTTTCCTGGGTCATTTTTTCAAGCATTCTGCTTGGCTCATGCTTGTCACCTGCCTGTAATCCCATAAAAATATGTTCATGTTGTCCCTTTCTCCTTAGAGACTTTCTTGCTAAAACCTTTGTGCACTACTCTTATGATGACAGTGGTAAGCTGGCGACTTCACATCCTAAAGAGGAGGTGAGAAACTGGGAAGCATTACACAGAACAAAGACCAATTTGTGTATGACATCTGATGACTTTCAGTATGCCAGGTGTGAAATTTCATAAAGGACACCTTTCATTAATTAAAAACACCTTTGTTTTTTTGTTTGATATTAAACGCATTCTGTTTTTTTTAAGAAAAAGATTGTCGTCTGTTCAGCACAATTTTTTTTTTAAAAGAACTAGATTTAGAAACAACACAAGCAACCAGCAGGGATCTAACCTAAAATTAGCAAAACTTAAGAAAGTGTTTTTTTTTTCTTTTGAATTTAATCATTTAAACAGCTTGGCTGTTAGTTTCACTAGCATAGTGTTTTTTTAAAGAGAATGCTGTAAGACAAAAGTGTTTAAGTTTGCTGCAGGACCCTTTATTGCTGTATGATGCCTATATCATACAGCATATATCTGTGTGCCGTTCTGCTAAGGTGCATGCATTTTTCATTGTGTTGGAATTTTATAATAACCTAGGAACAAGTAATAGGTTTATTCAATGCTGAAAAGAGAATAAAGAAAACACAATGTTTTGGCCGTGGAGCCTTCTTCAGGTGTCAATATACAGTAATAACATATGAGACTCAATACCAATGTTAGAATCACCAATGCTGTCTGGAGTTTTCAGTCATACCAATTATTGTGCCTGATGGTATGAGTGGGGATGGTATGCATTGCAGTGAACTGTGAGGTTATATCAGTAATGCATTTTTTTTGTCATCACAGGACCACTGCTATTATCACGGATATGTGGAAGGACAGGATGACTCACTGGTTGCTCTCAGCACCTGCTCTGGTCTCAGGTGTGCTCCTGCTTTTTTTCTTCATTTTGTGTACATCGTGGCTGAAAAAAACTGCCACTATCTTTGTCTGGCCTTGACTACAGTCATGGCATTCTGTTCAACCTTCAGTTTTTACTTGAAACTTCATTAATGATCATGTCAGTAATATTTTCAAATAAGCATTTAGGAATATTAGGAGCCAAATGCAAAAGCTGTCGACAATTATATTATTTATAAGAAGGGTATCAGTAGTAGGATGTCATTAAGGTGCATGTCCTGATTTCCAGTAAGCTCAATCTTAAGAGTGTTTGATTGGACAGCTGTATTTATCTCTATTAACTTATGCTCTCTGTCCCTGTTCCTCTCTTTAGTGGTATCATTTTAATGGGACAGAAAACCTATGGACTTGAGCCAGTCATCCGTTCATCAGCCAATGAGCACCTCCTGTTCCTATTGGAGCACAGCCAGAAAGACCCATTTGTGTGTGGAGTGACCAATGAGATGCCTCCATTTGAAATCAATACTGAGTCCCACAGCCAGCACTACCAGGGCCACACAGACACAGTAGAATCCATGACCAGAATGTTCAGGGTGAAGAGATTTTTTATGCTGTATTACTAATTTATTGTAATTTATTTATTCTTTGGAACACTAAATGAGACCAAGTGATTGAAGGTACTGCAAGAATTGTTTACTCCACTCTGTTTCCTACATATTTCTGTAAAGGGTACCGTGTATTTTTTCCAGAACACTCCCACTGAATAAAGTACACTCTTAACATAGTAATCATTTAAGGTGTCTGAGAACTTTAATGTAAATATTTTATAACCAACAGAAAAAGCGAAACCTGCCCCAGACCAGATATGTGGAATTGATTTTGGTTGCAGACAAACAAATGGTGAGAGAAATACTGATTTTTGATTGTGCATATGCAGTAAGTTTAAACTGCCCCTTTGTATACACAGAGTGAGCTAAATGAAGTCTTCTATGTTCACAGTACGATGACAGGAATGCCAATGAGACAGCACTGCAGAAGGACATGGTTCAGATGGCCAACCTCCTCGATGGGGTAAGCAAATGTGCAACTTACAACAGCGTTTCACAACCTTTTCCATCGCACAGCATACTTACAGAAATATTTAAAATCCAAAGCACACCTCCCTTTCCCCACACACACATCATCAGTCTGAGCACACTATTGTAAATATTGTAAACCAAACTGATTTCAGTGCTCAATCGAAATTCACCCCGAAAGGCACAGTGTCCTAATCCTGGTAGAAACAGATGACACTGAAACATGGAGCTGTTGTACGGCTGCTCTCAGACGTTCTCCGTTTTTGATCTTCTGTGTCCATCAAACTTGAAAAATGTTATATTTTCTCATCAGATGCAATTCCCACCTCTTCTGTCACACGTGTGTGCGCCGAACATGCAATATGGCATGTTGGCTATACAACAAAACTATCCATCTGTTTTGTAACTGCTTTATCCAGAAGAGGATAGTGGGGGAGCCGGAGCCTATCCCAGCAAACAATGTACACTTAACAAGCTCTCATGTGTGTCCTTACTGATAAATACATAATCCAACTATAGGGTCTTTGGGGCATCTTCCCAGCCATTAATAAATAATATGTAGAATAAATAAATGTGTCAATGTAATTAAGAACCCAGTCAACTTTATAGATAGAAATACACATGGAAACACTTTCCCTTCCCCTTAGTACTATAAGCAGCTGAATGTCCGTGTGATCCTGGTGGGGGTGGAGATCTGGAATAACCAGAACCCCATTGATGTGGACGGTTCAGCGGGGGAGGTCCTGGGCCGCTTTGTCCAGTGGCGGAAGAATGTGCTGATCCCCAAGAAGAAACATGACGTGGGACAGCTCATAGTGTGAGTGTGATGACCACTGGCTGCCAGAATCAAGTCCCCTCTGCCTCTGGAAAGCCTTCCCTCTCCCTGTGTGTTTTGTCCATCCTAAAAGGAGATGGACGGGAGGAGAGGATGCTATGATGCACGTGAGAGAATCTGCTCCTAACAAATGATGTGCTGCTCTTAAGCGGTGATCATGATCCCCGCGATTTTACTGCCACATTCCACTCAGACTTGATTTTTTAGGAAGAGTATGAGGAAGAATTTTAGCATTTACCTTTTTTTATGTGTATAAGATAGTGACTAGTTGTCTTTGAAAAATGCCTTTTACCCAGCAGCAGTATGAAAGAACAATTGCAAGCATATTATTTGACTTTTTGATATTAATGCAACAACAGCAGAATGTCTAGTTCATTTCACACCTTTTATTTATATACTTCCTTTTGTCTGTATACAAGGTAAAACCGAAGAAGAATGTGGTCAATTACAAAGAAATGTTTGTAGAGAGAAAAACAAATAATATGGAACCTTCCTGTGTGAATTTGCTGTATAAAACTAATTGCATTTATCATCTCTGTGAAGAGGTTACTCACAGATCTGTATGAGAGGCTGCTCTCAGATCTCCATGATTATATCCTCCCCATGTGGATGGATAAATTACTCTGCTTGACCACACCTAACCCGAGTGAAGACTTTTCTTCAACAAGTACTATGGTTCTTATAGTGAAAAGGAGACATACAAAGTAGTAATGCTTTCCTGTTTATATGAAAGGGCATTTTGCCCCCTTCTGGAAATGTACCTTTGTGTTCTTCATTAGACAGGACTCGATGATGTGTTAGAGTCAGTAACATATATACTATATACTATACTATAAAAGGCTCCTTCACAGGCAGCTTTTCTGATCAATTACTGATCAAGGTCTTTAGAGAGTAGTCAGGCAACACCTACTGTATGAACACTTGATTGTCTTTTCACAGGATTCCAGCCCTGAATGGAATAGGTTGTTTCCAGCTGACACTTTCATTTTGTTTCAGTGGACGAAAAACCTCTTACCCACAGGGAGTGCTGGGAATGGCTTTTGTTGGCACAGTGTGTTCTGTAAGCAGTGCTGGAGGAATCAATGTGGTAGGCACACTGTTTAACACACCTCTGGTCTATTTTTCTCACTTAGTCTATTTATTTCTCTCGTTGTTTCATGTTGGAATTGTCCTAAGGTATGCACACTGCTCTTCACCAAAATTAACCACACCTCAGAAATATCTTAAATGATGATTCCTCTAGGAGTGCAATTATTAATTCTGGCCATGCAATCGACCTGAATATTTGGGGACCCGTTCAGAGGTCTATGGACAGCAATCCATGTTGGGTAATTAGGGGGTGTTATTGGATTATGCTGTCCTGCCTGATCCCTGTGATTTTTCCACCCAGTTCGGGGGCAGCACTCTGCAGTTCGTCTCCACGGTGATAGCCCATGAAATGGGGCACAATTTGGGAATGAACCATGATGACAAACGCAATTGTAATTGCGCCGTGAAATCCTGCATAATGAACAGTGGAGCAAGGTGACTAACTATTCCCTTTGATCCTTTCTGCTGCCTCTCTCATTTATTATTGCTTTATTTTTCATACAGGTGTAGAAAAGCAATGAATGGAAAGCATTTTTGGCACAATAATGACATCTGTGGAAAAAATGTAATCATTTGTTTTCTTCAAATTAGGCCATTGCGACTTTTTTGATTCACTCATTCTTTTTGTGTGATTTTTTTCTTGTTCTTCCTGCAGCCAATTTAGATTTAATATTAATTTCCAGTCCCCTTAATTTTAGTTACATCTTATTGTTGTAACAGGCACATGCCTATAGGATTTCTTTCAAACATTAATTGAAGTGAAACCCTCTTTATTACTTGCAAAACTAAGATACTGAGTGACATTGGCAGGAAACATCTTAACCTCTGAGGTCTTCCCTGGCTTCGCAGTGGTACTTTAACTCCAGTCATATTTCCATCTCAGTCTGCGCAGGCAGAACTTCCCATCAGCTACTGCTGGGAGGAAAACAGACATTTCTGTTTCCTCACATGCAGGTCTTGTCATTTAGTTAATCGGTCTGTCCCTCAGTTTGTTACCGTTTGTGATTGTGTGTTTTAACATGGAAATTGATTCTGAAGTATTTGTTATCAAGTCTTCATACGCAGTCAAGAAATGCTTCTTCATCTTGTGTAATACAATGTATAGCATTATAATACTCTCTTTTGTTAAAATGTTGTATCAAACCAATGGCATGTTTTTATTATTAGAATAATGTAATTAGTAATAATTATAATTTACTGCATTTGTGCAGCACTTTTAATTCCAAAGAGTGCCAGAGAGGTTTACAAACAGGAGAACGTACCCCACTTCATCTGTGACCTGGGGAGCCTGTGACAGGAGAGAGTTTGAAATCCTTAGCTGGCTTTTGATGTACAGACCTGTGGTGCCGCAGTGATAAATAGATTGTATGCAAGATATGTGTGTTTTCCTTCCTCACAGTGGGTCGACCACCTTCAGCTCCTGCAGTGGGACTGACTTTGAAAATCTGATCCTGCAAGGAAGAGGCATCTGTCTGAAGAACCAGCCTTCTTCCTTGGACATCTTCTCGGTGGCTGGTTGTGGGAATGGGGTGCTGGATCAAGGGGAGCAGTGTGACTGTGGCAAGCCTGAGGTATGACAAGATGCACAGTACTGGGAGGCTGGCTGCCTGGGGCTTGGTCATCAGGCTGAACAAGCAGAGCGTGGGTTTCATTTTAAATACGAGTGAGCATATGCTAAAGTTATTTCACAATAATACTGGAAAACCTGCTTCAGAAAGAAAACTTTATGTGAATTTATCATGGAAAAAAGAAAAGGTGTAACTGTTGAGGAGTTAAGACTTCATCAGTGCATCTCACGCAAAGTGAGCAGTAGAACGGGGCATTTTTGTGTTTCAGAGATGGATATTCACACAAATTCATTCTTGTCTGCAGTACACCATCAGATATTTGAAAGCATTAATGAACAATACGAGGTTAATTCCATGGTGGAAAGTAAAAAGAAAAAAAACAAAGCAGTGTTTCACATGCCAGAAGAAAGTTCCAAAGTCAAAACGTTGAGGATTGAGCCTGTACTCACAAGCTGATGCTTCTCACCAAATGTAACCTGGTTTGAAAGTGTGAACCACCTCTGGTGCTACTGTATCTTGGATGCTTTTTCACAAAGTATGAAGACTTGTACTTTACCATACAAAAAATAAATGGGATTTATCCTGACCAGTCATGGCTGTGATTGCAGGATTGCCAAGATAAGTGCTGTGATGCAGCTACATGCACATTCACAAGAGGATCCTACTGCTCTCAAGGCAGCTGTTGTGACAATTGCCAGGTGAGTGTGTAGCTCCGATTGATAACTGTGCTTCATTATGATATGTACAGGGTGTAAATATAGTCTCTCCTGATTACAGTCTCTGCTGATGGGCTGAGATGGAATTTTCTGCTGTTTTCTAGCTCAAAGTTGCGGGAACACCTTGCAGAGAGTCAGTTAATATCTGTGACCTGCCAGAATACTGCATTGGCACCTCGCCCTTCTGTCCCAATGACTACTACATAATGGATGGATACCCCTGTGAAAACAACACAGCATACTGTTATGAGGGACGGTGCCAGACCTATGATTATCAATGCCAAAAGCTGTTCACCAAAGGTATTGTCTGGATTTCTGTTTACTTGTTACTTATTGCTTAAGTTTTGTGTATCATTTACATTGCACCATCTATGTATTGTTTTTGTGTTGTTCGGTGCCATGCTCAGATTGATTTTCTTCCTAATTTCTATTGTCCCTGCAGTGTAGATACACACTCCTGCAGTATACATAAAAAACTGTGAGCTCCTTAGTGCCTTGCAGGAGAGCATCCTGATTGGAACAGCAGAGCATCTCTCACTTACGGTATTACATGTCCAGTTACCCAGTGTTTGCTGTTACGTGGCAAAATGGAGATGCCCTAGCACACTTTAACACCGTTACTCATACAACCCTGCCAATGCTTGACCCGTCGTGCTTTACTACATATCGGAGGGGCTCCTGGTTCGGAGCTCAGTTCTGATTCTAAACCATATGTCGTTGATATGAATGTCTGATTTAAGCATATCTGCTGATCTGAATCTAGAGCCACATCCTGTTTTCACTTCATGAAGTAAACTGGGGTCAAATAGTTGATCCCTGATAGAAGGAGCCCAAGGTGTTCAGTCAAGGCCAAGCTTCCCCAAACACAGCTTAGCAAGACTGAAACCGTGACCAGCGGAAGTGAAACCATTTGGATATACCTGTTTCACTCAGATCCCTTATTCTTATTTGAATCTGAATATTCTAATTATTTAACCTACTGCATTCTTCTTCATTTCTGATTTTGTTATTATGTGGACGCTGTCACCTTAAGGTTCTCTGTGTCTAATTCACAGATGCTAATAAAGCTCCCAACATCTGCTTTGAAGATGCCAATACCAGAGGAGATAGGTTTGGGAACTGTGGAATGACAGGGACAATTTTTAATAGATGTACAGTGGAGTAAGTACTTCTGTTGTTTATACATGAATTAGAGTTAGAGGTAGATACAGTAGTGAGTTATAATAGGATTCTGGAACAAGCTACTCAAAGCCAGTACCCAAGGAATAGCTGGTTAAGACCCTCTGATCAATTAAAAATACTGGTTTAGAATTTCCTCTTCTCATATGTAAACGTTTTGTCTTAAGAAAGAAAGTGCATACATACATAAACCAACACAGTCATAAGATATTTGGCTCCCACAAATAGTGTAATTGAATGGATAGGACTTGTATCTTCTTGCTTCTGCAGGAATGCTCTGTGTGGGAAGATACAGTGCAGTGGTGTTGATGTAACCAATCCACCCTTTGGTTCTACTATTACTGTGAAGAATATCGGAAATACCCAGTGTGTGAATGTGGACTTTGACCTAGGCTCGGATGTCCTGGACCCAGGATATGTCAGCAGAGGCTCAGGCTGTTCCCAAGGAAAGGTGAGATCTGGGTTAATAGGAGACACACTGCTCCCGGAGGATCACAGTTCATCAAAAGCAAGGTCATGATTAACGAGACATGAAAAAGCATGCAACCCTTTAAGATTGCAAATGGACATCCATGTAGGGGTATTTTCTGAAAACTGTCCCAGTCCATCTGGGTGCTTTGACACTATAGAAAACAGTCAACAATATCCATCCATTTTGGTTTTGGGATTATAAGGGAGTCAAAGCCTATCCAAGCAATGGGCACAAGACAGGGTACACCATGGATAGGATGCCAGTCCCTCCCAAGACAAAGACACAGGCACAGACATGCACACACTAACATCATGGCCAATTTACCCAGAAGCCAATTAATCTACCAGTATCTCTTTGGATTGTGGGAGGAAACCAGAGCACCCAGAGGAAACCCATGCAAACATGGGGAAACATACAGACACCACATAGATAACATTCCAGGTCTGGATTGGAACCCAGGGCACCAGCTCTGCGAGGCAACAATATTAACCGCTGCACCATAATGTTTCCTGCAGTCAACACCAACACCAAAAACCAAAACAGGTGGTATCAAATGTTCTCTTCCCTTTTGTGTTTGGCATGCACAATTTTATCTTGGGGATTCTGACATCTTTGACCAACAAAGGTCTTCATGTGGGCACAGAATGGTCCCTACAATACAGAAGTCTATTGTTCACTGGTCCTCAAAGTGTTGCTAATAAAGCCTGTATGTTTATTCTGTCAATGTTGTCAAGGTGACTGCTCTGGTCCACAGAAAGATTTCTGTGCAATATAATATACAGAAAAATGCTCTCTCCGACTGAGCAATAGCTATAGGTATACAGTATGTGTTCCAAAATGTTAACTAGTATTTAATTTGTTTTGTTTTATAAGATCATGTACAAAGCCTTATATTTTAAATTTGGCATGGACTGATAAATTCCTCAAATGTCAGTCAAAATGTCTGAGCAGGTGTTCTGTTAGATAAAGACAAAGACAATGACAATCTTGCATTCCTTTCAGGCCTGTGTTGACTTTAAGTGCACCAACGCCTCTGAGCTTAACTTTAATTGTGATATACAGACGAAATGCAGTGGCAATGGGGTGAGTAAAACTTTCTGAGATGGAAGTTTCATTGCGTAGGTACGACACACTAAGCCTGGAAGTGACATGAAAAGAATTTGAGTTACATTCATGAAAAAGTACTACTTAATTTGTCAGGTGTTTGCTGTCATAGCACATAATGCAGTTTATTAATATAGCTGCAAATAGTTTTACATGAGACAAACTATTTAGAGCACTATACTCTAGTTTATAAGCTATTTCTCTTTCTAGATAAAATATATCTACAAAGCTTTAAGAATTTGTATTAAAAACTAGAGGAACATTTATTCCGTTTCCCTATTTCATAGCTACATTTTTTCTTTCTAGGTTTTCCTGGATCGTTTTTATCAATGATAAAGTAATGTTAATTTGAAACAAGGGGCTTCCACCCTATTGGAGGTTTGGTGTTTTTGTGTTAGAAATCCTGGATGTTAAAGTTGTATTGTTTTCTGCCTATTTTTCGATGTGAAGTTAAAAACTGGAACATAAAATTAACTCTTCATTTGCCTAAAAGACAATATCTTGTTCCAGAGTCAGGTCAATGTAATGGATACCAAGGTCTATTAGAAAACCAGCTTGATAATTTATCATGACTTTTACAGGTTTGTAATAATCAAGGAAACTGTCACTGTAATGCTGGCTGGGCCCCCCCAGACTGTAGCAGAAAGGGCTCAGGAGGCAGTATAGACAGCGGACCCACAACTATAGGTACTATAAGCTCTTCTAAGCTTTTAAACAGACTGTCTCAATTAAATAAAATGCTTTCTCTATTGCAATACTAGTACTCCTTTCTAGTAAGAAGTACATATGTGAAATGATGCACTTTTTGTTCTTATACTGTAAGTAAAGTAGCTTGAAATGACATATAACTAACCCAAAAACATAGATTTCCAATGCACATCTACCTAGCAACAGCAAAAAGATATTGCACGCAAAGTGTGATCACCTAATATTCTTTACAGCTGAATATTATACATCACAAACATATCTTTCATGAAGTTTCTTTTCCTACATGGCAAACCCAGAATGGGTATAGGAATGGATGGGGTTGGTCCATAAAGTCAGGCTCAGTTTTTAATGAGAAATTGCAATCATTAATTATCATATGCTGATGCAAGAAAGAGCTCAAACACAGATTTACATGGAAATAACAAGAACAATTCAGGTGGGGGCAAGTGAAGTGTGAGTGGTGGTGTTGCTGGGAATAGGGAACACTCATGTCCTATGCCTTTCGTGACTGTTGTGCTACCTCACTCTAGCTGTGTGTGCACATCTGCTTCACCTATTCTCTCACATAAAGCACAATTAGAGTGCATTTTCCACCTGGGCACTGTTAATGAAGTCCAGCACTAATGTAGTTTTGCATGTCTCCACAGACACCTCTGTCAGAGATGGCCTGCTCATCTTCTTCCTCCTGGTGGTGCCCATCATCATCATTGTTCTCGTTCTCCTCTTCCTTTTCAAACGGGGCTGGAAGCCTCAGTGCCTGAGGGAGAAGCGCTCCCGTCAGTACAGGTAGAGTTACAGCACACAGTAATTCCAAGGCAGAATACCAAAGCAGCAGTTATTTACAAACTTAACTTTAAATGATCACACTTGGAATGGAATCGCAAGACATGAATACATTTCTAATTGAATCAACAGCAAACATGAAATATCCCTTATTCCATAGTGTATGAATATTGTTCGCAGAAACTCACGACAGGCTTTTAGCGCTATTGTCAATTTTTGCTCATTACAAGATGAAGTGCTAAAAACTAAATAAAATGAATTAAGCAAAATGGCCAAGAGATACATCACTGCTAGCCTTGTGGAATAAATGCAATATATAACAAATCTCTGGGTTTTGTTGGAGACAAATACGTTTGAATTGAACAGAACAGCCTGCCCTTATATCCCTTATATCTGTCCCAAACTGAATTCTATAACACAGGTCGCGAAACTCAGCACCCACAAATGCTCAGAGGGCAGCACCCCAAAGTCAGCCACAGAGCCACACAGGGCCACCTCAGGTACCTATTTTATTCCTTTACGCTGCACATTCACATGGGTAAGAAGTACAATTCTTAAGCAACTAGGAAAAAAATGAAAAAGACTTATTTTATTTTCCTATTCTACATCTACAATTTTCTACTATTTTGTTCCTTAAATTAAAAAAAAATTAAAATTCCTCAAATTAAGATGATGAAACATAAATCTTTCTACAATATCAAAGTAGGAATTTTGATCCTATTAAACTGCTGGGGTAGCTCCATGCTATGTTTTGGACCACTATGGCACAGTGGACAGCAGCAGTGAGTAATGTCCATGATTAACACAAGAGAGTGTTCAGTAACTTCTTAAGATGGTGAAGACAGTGCTATAATAACTTTCCTCTATATGCAAAGAACACTAATTCTCTGCCTGTGTTAAGAGTGTTCTCTGCCTTATTGATTACAGCCTGCCACCATTTATCCACCACGTTCTTCTGACCTCCCACCCAGGTATGTATCTCAGCCCCCCCCCATTCAAAAGTTATCAACATTTCCTGAACTTAGTTATACTGTGCAAAATCCCATTTTTAGAAGTTATTAGCAGTTAATTTGTCATTTTTCTTTGCCCGTTAGCCGCAAAGATGTGAGTTTCAGCCTTCCACAGTACCAGCCCTCTGAGACCCCTCTGCCCGTCCACCAGCAGGGACCTGGTGTGCCTCGACCCATTCCCCCAGCACAGCCTCAGCAGTCCTGAGCCCCCACGGAGACCCAGCTCATTCCTCTGCATGTTATTTATTCACGTTGACACTGCTCATTGATACCAGGATTTTTACACAAGTGAGATAATTGCTTGATGAGGATTTAATAAAGTCCTAGTGTAAGTCACTAGAAGGGCTAGTTAAAGGAATTCCTGGCACACCAGTTTACCTAACAGAAAACATGAGATGATTTTTGCAGTGTGAAACAAAGTGTTCCTCTGACAATTTTTTTTTACTTTCATTTTAGTGCCTAAACATGTTCTCAATCACAACAAAGCAGGATGTAAATCTTTATTTCTTCAAATTGTATATACTGTATTTTATGTGAAAATATTATCTTGACATTTTTAACTGTGTGAATAAAATGTTGTCCATTGTTTAAACAGTGGTGAAATGGTCAAAATGGATATAAAGGATGCATTTAGTAGTTTTGAAGAGCAATGTGAATCAGTTTCAAAACATGATTTCCCATTTGTTTTAAGAACTGTCTTTGAATTGTTTTATGGATAAAGTATGTAAATACATTTTTAACAGAGGTAACCACTGACACATGTAATTAGTGTGTAATTCAACACCCGATATTAATATTTAGAATGTACCGTATGGATGCCTTTTTCTACTTCAGATACTTGAGTCCTGCGAGAAGATTATACTTTCGGACATTAACTCACGTACAAGTAGGTACCTGCGTCAGCATGGCTAAGCTGCAAAGGAAGAGGTAAAAGTTCATTACATGCTGAAAGGAAGGAAAAGAAACACAACATTTATGCCGCCATCACACTACATGACTCAACACGACTTCTAGTCGGTGCGCATGTCAAATTTAACGACTGCAGTTGCTGAATCTCGCTGCCTTTTCTGTCCTAGAGGGTCTCAAATTATACGACTAGCAATCGCAGGGGGTGAGTAATTACATGAGTCCCTCACGACTTTCCATCACGGTTCCATATCTCGTCTTGCACCACGAAAGTACCACGAGGTCTCCTCATTTTGGCAATTAATCAACGTGGAGCACCACATGAAAGTAACCAACAACATGGAGAACAACCAGGTAGTTGACGCTTTCACTGTAGCCTGTGCTCTCCTTTGTGACAAGACAAAAAAAGAAGAGGATACACCGAAAAACGTATAGTTAACCACATTTGTTTGGTCGTGGACAATATGGTTTGACCGCTGTTTGTGGGCATTGTATGCATTGTACTTCCGGTTAAGCGCTCATTGGCTGTTGACTGTAGTCCGCAGACACGAGAGCCCACCCCTACGACTTGCGACTCGCTACGAGAAAATCAAAATAGTTTGGTTTTTCCGCAGCGGGTCGCGGAGTTGTAGAGGCTATAAAGAGCGCTATAAAAGACGTTATGTTAAGTTTCACTGAAACTTTCAGCCCCATTGAAAACAATATTGAAATATCGTTTGTAATAAATTTAATTATTATAATGGCACGTTATTATATTATTTGGGGCGGAGTGATGGCTCTGTGGCTAAAAGGTTGCTAGTTCAAATCCCGCAGCTGGCAGAGGAATCCTACTCCTTTGGGCTCCTGAGCAAGGCCCTTAACCCCAACTGCTCCAGGGGGGCTGTACAATGGCTGACCCTGTGCTCTGACCCCAAGTTTCTCTCCCTGTCTGTGTGTCTCATGGAGAGCAAGCTGGGGTATGTGAAAACATAATTCCTAATGCAAGAAATTGTAAAGGGTTAATAGAGTGATATAATAATAATAATATACATAAAATAAAGTGGTCTGGGAAGATTTTTTTGTTCGAGCAGTTTAAAATGGATATAAAGGAGTATCTGCTGACTGTTTCAAAATGCAAAAATCTGAAAGCGGTGCGGACGTTATTTTTATTTAATTTGTTTAAACACTTTTCATTATTTGAATTTATTTTGTAATATATACCCCTGACTATGTTTTTGTCTTTAAATGTTATATGTACTCTTGTTTGTATTGTAATTTTTGTTATTTTTTATGCATAAATACAAAAATAAAGAGTGCTATGACTGAGTCGCTGGGGTGTCACACTACACAATTGACGGTAACGGGCGCGCTGCAACTCTCTACAACTGATTTCTTTACGATTATGTAAATAAAGTTTACGACTGAAAATCCTAGGAAAAGTCGTGTGTGTGACGCCGGCATTAAGCTAATGACAAATGCTAATGATACCTGAAAAAGGCTCTACAGCCTGAACTTTGTTTCTTTACCTGAGCTTTCAGCATGGAATGAAACACAAACTCAAGTATATTTCTAGAAGGAAACTCGACACGTGTGATTAGTTTTTTTTTCCACCCATAAAAATAAAAATCCAAGAATCACTGAAACAAAACCTGTTTTTTCATTGCAATGGGTGGAAATAACCTGACCACAGACCACAAGCAGTTTTGCCTTACCCCAACTTCAGATTCATGCCCATACTGTAGGGATGTATAGCAATTTAATTTACATCTGTAAATGACTAAGGAATGTTTTGTAATTCTTAAATAAAATAGCATCTATAAAACCTGAAATTTGTTTACATAAAATCAGTCCGTTTCTCGTGGCTTTAAATTACACGATGCAGTATTGTTTTTATTAAATGAGCTGTATAAATTATTTCCCTATGCATAAATTATATGACTAGGCAGAGAGAGATGGTCCAAACATACATGATGCACCAATTTGTTTCAACAACGCAGCAACGGGTATTTGCAAATCGAAAGTAAGAGCTCTTGATGCACTCTGGCAGAAGCGCTCCTGTTATCCTTCCAGGTAAGTCAATCAGAAGAGTGAGGACAAAATCTCTGTTCAGTGTGGATTTACTGGATTCAGGAGCCTCAAACTCGATTCCAAGGCGTCCTCCTTTCCCACCTCTCCTCGCCTCCTTTCGCCGCTGTCAAAGCGGATTGGTTGTGGGCTCTGTCTATCATACTTCCTGCTTCCTGTGACTGTGAAAACAGCAGTCTGGAGGAGAGTGCTACCGCGAAGTTTTTTTTTACTCGAAGGTTGAGATCTGACTTGCTACCATATTATTACAATACCGAAAGAAGTCTCTCGCTGACTTAGAGAGCTTTGCGTAAATCGGTCTTGATTTGTTTAAAGACTTATGACCAGTAGGACGTTAGAGCTGTTTGTAAAGCTACTCTTTAAAAAGCTGGACCTGAGCTGCATGCTTCCCGTGTCGTGCCTCAGCTGAAAAGCAATAACACTTGGAGACATGACGCTGTGGTCGGGGGATCTTCTTAATGCGTGTCTGTGTAATCCTGCAGGAAAAGAAAAATGCAGAATTTCCGCGGAGCAGGTCTGAAGCACTGTAGCGTGTTTTTATATACATGACGCTATAACACGTCTGAAACCTAATCTGTCACTGCCCTGGACGCTCACATGAATTGGACTGCAGCTGCAGCGCCTGGCGGTAGGGAGCGGGCGTGCCTGTGCCTGCTCTGCGGTCTCCCTGCCGCAGGGAAGTCCACTCTAGCCCGGGCACTTGCCGGGGAGCTGAGGCAGAGCGGCTGGGACTGCCTCGTACTTTCTTACGACGAGCTTATACCGGAGGAAGCATTTGAGTTGAGACCTGGGGAGGCTGACATTCCAATAAACACGGTACTGTGTCCTTTCTCTTTTTAAGTAATGCAAGGATATCAAATGTGTTTACCTGAGAAACGTTGTTACTGTGTTAGTGGTAATTTCGTTCTCTGACATAAAGGGGGGTTGTTTGTGATGGGGTTAATTGAAAGGCCGGGGTGGATGGGACCTGTGGAAGGTCATTCTGAGTGATGCCGCCTGATGGTCTGAACCTGCACGATACTGTATGTTGTGCAGTTGTGTGCTGAAGACGTGTTGTATTCTGTATCTTGCCTGGTCTTAATATTGCTAGATTAGCAATATGCATAAGAATTATGAAGATAATATATAGGTACTCATGGTAATAAATGTGAACACTTGTATTCGTCTGTTTCCTGGTATTAGCATTCCAGCTGGAAACTGCACAGACAGAAGGTGCTGCGGTACCTTGACGATTTCCTGCAGCGGAGTCCCAGAGATGCTCTCGGTGTCTCTGGTTTGCAGACCAACAGGGAGGGGGAGACATGGAGGCGGTTTGTTCACTGTGTACAGCAGCAGCGGCAGCTCCAGCGCCTTCAGAATCACAGCGATCCTCTCCGCTCCACCGCAAGTCAGCCGAGTACCACACCGCTTCTTATACTCCTCGATGACAATTTCTTCTACCAAAGCATGAGATACGAGGTGTATCAGCTAGCTAGAAAACGTACGTAATCATGAAGAAGTACCTTTGTACGAGACCGTGAAAATGCTTTACGGCACAACTAACCAGCTACCAAATCCACATGAATCTTGTTTAAACATAAAATAAATGCATAAGTGTTTTTTTGCTCTATAAAGTCTTCACTTTCTGGTCTTCTGAGCTTTTTAAAAAAATGTTGTGGTACATTCTGCTGTATCCTGGAATTATATTAAAAGTATAATCTCGATCATAAATATATTAATTAAATTATGTGGTATAATTTGCTCATATTGTATTGCTGCCTTTATTTGAAGTCGGCAAAAAACAACAACTTTCCATTCTCGGTGTTCTGGAATACAGATTCCCTGGGTTTCTGCCAGCTTTACCTGTACTGTGAAGTCAGTTCCTGTCTGAGCAGAAACCAGCAGAGGCAGTGCCCACTGCCTGATAAGGTAATTGTGGAGATGGCACAGCGAATGGAGCCCCCAGACCTTAACAGAAACCCCTGGGAGCAGAACAGTCTTGTGCTGTCCAGCACAGACTGCACCACTCAAGAGTGCATGTAGGTAAATACACAGACCATTAGTTTTTCCAGGTTTAGGTGGGGAAGCCAGGCAGAAGTACTTCAGATGGGGTTCACACATTTTTTAAAATCTCTCTATTCTATGTAGGTAAGTAGGTTGGCATGGTTTACACAAAAATATTTTAATGCAGAACTTTACAGTGTGCTACATCACACATTGATTATTCTAAAAGTATGAATACATTTATATTTTACTATACTGTTATTACTGTTCTTCAATTATTTCTGTTTTCCTGTTAGTGTTTAATTTCTTTCCCTCAGAAAGAACATAATTGGGTTGTTTGGTACAGCTCTGGACAACCCACTGAAGCCTATACAAGATAATACTGAAGAAAGGGTAAGACATACTCTAACAGACATGTCTAGAAAGCACAGGCACACCTCTCTGCCATTAACTGTGGATTAAATGGACTCTTTAGCAGGTGTCATTTTGTCTTGTTCTCCCTTTGGATTTTGATTTACTAATCCATTGTAGCTACACTTGGATGTGAGTGAGCTTTGTAGGGGCAAACAATAGCTGAGTCTTTAGTACTGTTAACAGTGCAGGTGAAAAACAGAATTGAAACATTTAAACAGGTTATGTTTTGGTATTTTCTACTTTTAGAAAAACTTTTCCAACATTGTTGCCACAGATAGTAATACTGTTGCTGTACCGTATCTGTTTTCTAGAATCAAGATACCAGAGCTCAAGAAAGGAATTTAATTTAAAATAGTGCATTTAATTGCTTTTCTTTCATTTTATTCTTTTTAGTGAGGGAACATTTGGGAGGAATGTGGAAAGTGGATTGGAAATTTTGTATTTTCCCTTTCACAAATTCTCAGTTGAAACACTATACCAACAATTTACATGATTTGTAACATTATTTAAATGTTATGCACATGTATTTTTATTGGAGTAAACTGCAATAAAAATACTTGTAAAAAAATAAAGCATTGCAGAAAACGGCATTTCTAGTCACTGAGGCCCAGGGTCTTAATGGTCCCAACATAAACTTGTTCTTCATTTTAGCGGCAGGCCAGCTTTAATTTACTCTTTGAAGGGTATTAATCTGTTTCTCTTCTGTGCCCAGGAGGCTGCCCGCCTCTGTTGTGCCTCCAGTGTGGTCCATCAGGTGGACCAAGCCTGTCGCCGCCTCGTGTCTCAGGCCATGCAGGTCGCTAGAGGTCAGTCCCAGCCTCAGGTGCGGGTTACTGTGCTATACCCCCTCACAAGAATACGAAGTGAACCAGTTACTAGAAATAACGCCAGCATTGCATACCCTTGTGATCCATTTCAGTCTTTTTTTACTGCGTGCTACTGTTCAAATTGTACAGATAAAGCACCAGATTAGTGTAGAGTGTTCTTGTATATGGTTTCATCTCTGTGTATGCCTTGTAAGATTTATTTTCACATGATGACAAGAGTGAAATAAATAGTTATAACTGGGTCTTGTGTCACTCAACTCCATGCAAGGGAATTCTTACATCCATCAATGATAGTTGACTACGTTTGTAGATAAAGTGTAGATTAAATCTGACCAACTGGCTGTAATTTTGGAGATGGGTTTTGATTATCTTAGAAATAACTACCTCGCTACTGGCTAGTTCCATAGTTCACTTAAGATACCTCTGTGAATGGGTGAAGTATAAAAACCCACATACAGCCAGGAATGTGTATTATAAACATTTATTTCTACACTGAGAGATATATGTGGCTAACATTTAACGTTAATAAAACATTGTTTTGTGATTTCCTTACCAAGATAATAAAGTTCCTCAGAGTGACATGAGAATACTGGCAGCAGAGCTCAATCAGTTGAAAGGAAGTTTCCTGGAGGACCTTCACAGACAAGTGCCGCATGGGTGTCCCATCAGCCCTGGGGACAGTGTGGAGGTGGTGGTGAGCAAAGTAGCTGCCATCTTTGATCAGAAGAAAACTGATGTTCTGAGGAAGTTCTGCACAGATTACACATCCTTACCAGAGTAATACTTGGAAAACATTCTGCTACTTTTTTGTTTTCTAGCAGAATGTTACATAATTGTTTAATTTTTTTTTTGTAGAGCTGGATTGTTTTGAAGTTGAAATATCACAGCCAAATCAAATTCAGATTGGTCAAAATGTAAATTTTTCATAATGCATAAATCTGGTATATAAAACAGATATGGACAATATGTTTTTATTCATGTTTTTTTCAGGTTTACAGATTGAAGGTGAAAAAAAATTGCACAGTTTTTTGGAGTAAATATATTAATTAATTTTATTTAAAAACCCTTGTTAAAAATAAACTGATATTGCACTATTTTGAAAATCGACTTTACCTTTTTAAAAGTAAATACACACAGGACAGATGAATTATAAAAACTTAGTTTTACTTATGAAGTACAAAAAGCAGAGCGTTGAAATTTTAAATGGATATTAGTTCAGGTTACTCTTTCACAAGTTGTTCCTACACACACAATGCACTGATGCTGACAATGATCTGTATTAACACTATCAAACATTTACTTATGACATTACAGTCACAGGTTTATGATGCATACTTCCGGACAAAAGAAATAAAAAATGCTTTAGATGAAAATACAAATTTCCACATTACAAATAAAGGAATTCATAAGCTTTCTTGGAGGTACTGCACAGCTTAATGTACCACTGCATGTTAAGCAATTATTAGAATATTTACATTTTTTAATAGCCACTGTGATTTTCTACTTAATAGTAAATCAGTTTCACCTGGTTAGATGACATTCTGAAAATCAGAACAATTAGGAAAATTCTAAAAGTTGGTATCAACTCTTGCGTAACTTATCACACTTGGAAAACATTTTTCTATTTCTAGAAATAAAGTAGGAATAAGGATAATCTCAATATTACTAATGGTAATAAATTAAAGCACTAGTTTGTGTAACAAGAAGGCTATAATCAAATCCATGGTTAAATAAGGCCCAAAGTCCCATTCTATATATATATGACCCTACACATCCATACCACTGAGACGCACCTCTGACAGATCAATGTCTGCAAAATAAAGCTTACAACACATATCAGTCATTCACAACACTGTGTCCTTGATGGTGTCTTTATAATAGTTTTCTCATACATACAACAGCATTCAAAATTTCAGTTCAAATGCAGTCAGATCCGAAAGGTTGAATGTTCCTGTGATTCAAAAGTTTTTATAATAACTAGTGACTAGACTGGTTTTCTTCACTTTTTTAATCAAACTTTAGTATTGCTTCTGCTTTAAAGCATAGTCTAAATCAGTAATTTTTGGTTAAAAGTCAATACTGTCTAAACAGAAAATGACCTCGATCTCACACGTACAATAACACAAGCTCTTTTATTTCTGCACCAGACTGAAAAATAACAGATCTACGTGGCAGATATGAAGCACTGAGCTTTGCAGACATACCAAGATACACACAAATCAGTTATACAAAGCAAAGCAGGAACATGGCACACACATCACCCAGGAAGAGAAAAGGCTGCTTTTTGCTGTATTTTCCAGATTTGAGAGCACTGGAGACCCACTGGCTTATCGCATGTCATTATGAAAGACTAGTTTATATTTTCAAGAATAGGTGTAACCAATGCTTGAAAAGTACTGAAATAAGGTACAAAATACTGAAAGGAAGTGTGTAAATTTGGAATTCTGAAGTTATGATACTGTTACCCAGGAAGCTGCAAACTCTACCTGTACCAACTACTCACCTCAATAAGGCTACAAAACAGCCTTGCAAGAAAAAATAATAAAACGGCATCAAAAGATATATAGATGTCTAATTTCAGCTATTACACTGCCATACAAGTTTTTTTAGCTTATCTGCATCACATTTTATAGCAAATCATGTTACTGTGTTTGGCCTAACCACAAGTACTATATCTGTATGCAGTAATGAAGGTACAAAGACAGAGAAGTGATGCCACCAGCACCTGTGGGGAAATTATTGCAGATAAACTCAAATCCTGGCCAATCTTTAAGCATTTAACACAAAATGCTAAATGTGCTGGATTTAAAAAAAAATAAACTTAAAAAAGACCAGCATCACGTCACGCTTAAAAATCACTTTTTAAGCCCGTACAAATGTTTGCATACTACACAGAGGTGTAACTTACACCAACCCTCTGTAGGCCTTGTCATTTCAACCACATCCTTTTCACTTCTTAGGTCAAGAAGTTCAAAAACAGCTCGAACTAGTCCAGAGTTTCACCGTTCTCCAAGCTGCCCAGTCAGTATACGTCAGCAATGCTCCGACCCGGGTCAGGTTACGAGTCCCTCGGTGCACAACTTCAGAAACATCATCACAACGTGTAATACTCCATAAAGGTAGCCCAACTATTTCTTTATTAATCTAATCCCAGATGCATCATCTTTTCTATGGATTGTGAGAGAGTAGGTCTCCAAGCCCATAATATTAACTAATGCCTCCTAAAAAGGCCAGTTATAGATTTCAAGTTTGTTTACAGCAGGTTATCAATTTCTAGCAGAAATACTGCTTCAGTCTCATTACAAGTACGGGGTATTTCAATGCACCACTGCTTTATAATTAGCTGCATAAGATATTTCTCTTCCTTCTGTTGAGGGAAATACAATTTCAAGCCTTTATACAAGCATTTAAAGCAACATTAAGCTTTTATTAGGGAGCATGATGAGAAGTGACCTTTAACACACACACACACTTCACTCTCACACACAGTCAATATCATGTGCAAATCATTAAAATACTACAATAGGTAAACAATATTAAGTTGCTGATTAAGAAAACACTATGCATCTGATGAGTTGCTACAATGCTGTAAAAAATATGCTATTTAAAAAAATATTTTAAAATATTACTGAAGAATACTTTGGCCTTGAAATAATAAGCAGTTGTAATTCAAGTTCTCAAAGGCTGAGTTTCATCTCATAATAAATACCAATAAGCAGTTAATTTTAAAAGGCTAGTTTGAAACTGCTGAAGTATTTGACTTGCGCAAACGTACACATTTGTTGATCATTATTTACATGGGACACATATTCATATTAAAACCAAATCTAAAATGACACAAAAAAAGTGCTTTTCATCATATTTTGAAAGGCAGTTTCAATGGCACCAGTGTTTCCCACATACTGTCCAATAAATGGAAGTATTAAGATGTGTTCTTGTAGGCATAAATCCTGCAGACAAAGGAAATGAGTTTTGAGTTTTGCCCACAGCCTTGTTTCGTCTAAGCCTAAGATACTTTTACAGGAGGTTTACAGGGGGAATATCTTTCATTTTCACTCAGCATAATCCTGACAAAAGAAAAGGTCTTTCAGCAATGAGGTTTGTTCACTCTGTAAAGCTGATGTGACCAAAAAAAAGTAGAATATTTCTTCTGAAAGGATCCAAAATAAAAAGGCAATGACAGTCGTAACTTGACAGCCAACTATAAATACACCTTACTCTTTTTGTGATCATACTTCCATTCTTATTCACAAGAACATTGAGAAAGTGACTCTTTCCCATGACAATTGACTTTACCGTGATGTCCTTTGAATTCCCAGTAGATAAAAAGGATAGCAAAAAAATGAGTCACAGCTGATTTGTAGTAACCAACAGAGCATCTTCTAACTACTGTGGATTCCTATCAGATCCCCTACATACAGTAACAGCTGTTCAGAAGGATTGTTTTGAGTACTGAACTGCATTGTAGATCTCACTCCTTCCTCCAACTGCACTGCAGACAGAGATGACAAACTGCAGCCTGTTATCACATAGCAGTTGCTCTGAGTCAGACAATGGGTAATTTAAAAGTCTGGGACCATCCTGGTGTAGCCCGGCAACCCATCACAACACCAGCATTCAATGAGCCAAGTCTTAAGTGTTGGGACCCAGTTCAACGACAAGATGATTAGCTGTTAATATTTTCCTAACGTGATATGAACACTCCTGTATATTTGCAATGGTTTCTGTTCCTCGAAGTGTTGCGTTTTTAATACAGTGTTGAAAGCCCCTATCCCCTCCAAAACAGTCATTGTCACAAACCATGTCCTGAATAACTGCAGTGACCAAAAACATGCGCTTCTCTGTGCCTCCTTGTTATACGATTTTTTTAAACATGAACAATCTGCCAGTTTATTCCATAAACATATAAATAACTGCAGACAGCTCACAATGACTTTTTTTTTTCCTCTCCCAAATAACAGAGGGATCATTTCAGTGCCTAGACTGAATGTTAAAACTAAAGCCCTCCATTAAAGTTACGTGGGTGGGGGCAATTAACTTACTCCGTATTCCAGTCCGCATTCCACTTTGCCTTGCCATCAGAGTCACTGCTGTTTATGCTGCCCCCGGGCAAAGTGGCAGGCGAAATCATACTTGTTCCTGCACTTGCAACCGCAGATGTTGCACTGGAAGGGGTTCTCGTACCCGTGGCAGCCCATGTGGATGGTGTAGAGGATGTTGTCTGCGAAGTAGGTGTCACAGTGCTGGCAGTGGTGCAGGAGCTGGGGATCTTGCACGGGCAGGGCGGGAGCCGGGGTGCTGGGCTGGCTGTTGCTGATGCTGGGGGGGGTGCTGGTGTGCGCGCTGTGTTCGCTACTGGGGCCCGCCACAGGGCTGTAATTCCTGTGGGGCGGGGGCCGCGGCTCCGGGCTCGCGGGGGACGAGGCGTGGGCCACGGCGGCGGACACCGCGGCAGGCGCGGCGGCCGGCTGCTGGATGAGGAACGGCTTCTCCTCGCGACAGGACACCACGTCCGGGGACACGGGGGTGTGGGTCTCGGGGGGCAGGCTGGCCAGCTGGCCTGCCAGCGTGGACAGCTGGTTCAGAGGGTTGTCCACCATCATGTCCTGGGCGTCCCTCGAGCCGCCACTCCCGCCTGCCTGGGCCTTCGCCATGCTCTCGTAGGCCTCCGAGTGCAGGTGCGGGAGCTCGTGGGAGAAGTCATTCAGGTAATCCGGCTTCTGCACCACCATGGAGGGGGGGCTGAAGTTGATAAGCAGACGGCGGCTGTAGCCCAGGGCGCTGGACTTTTTCTGCAGGACGCTGAGCATCTTCTTGTTGGCCAGGCTGGAGCGCGCCCCCTTCATGGGAAGCATCTTGTGCCGGCGGCGGCGGTGGTGCGAGAGGTTGCTGCGGTCGCTACAGCGGAAGGAGCACAGCTCACATTTGTAGGGCTTCTCGCCGGTGTGCGAGCGCATGTGAGCCTCCAGGTGGCGCTCATACGCCGAGGCAAAGGGGCACAGGTGGCAGCGGTGAGGCTTCTCTCCTGCAGCCAAAAAGCAAAGAAGGCATTGAGGTCAGTTGTTGAAGACACCTCACGTTGCATCAACAGCTCAAAATATTACATGAGAGCTGAAAGGAAAAACGCACTGTTAATGCTTGGTACTAGTAAGGCAACATATAGAAGTTCAAGAACATTCATTGATTAAGTTCCAAGATCTTCCATCTGTGTCAGTAGCCCTTGCATTTTGATTGTTTGGTCTATTTTTTTATAAAAAAAACATAGCTAGAATTTTGATTCTTACCTTAGAAAAGGCTGGTGTAAATTATCCCTTAAGTTTCTACAGAGGTGAGCTAACGTGTCCCTGTGCATACCTGTGTGTATCCTGATGTGCTCAATGAGGCGGGCTGTTCCCTTGCTGGCATAATTACAGTAGCGACACTTCAGCTTGCCATCATATGTCCTCTCAAAGCCATCCACTAGCATCCCAGAACTGTCTTCCAGAGACACCTCCACAGAAGGATGGTCCAGCCCATTCTGGTCATTCTCTGTACCTGCTGTCAGCACACAGTGCAGAGGTCATTATTCTATGTAGACACTCAAACACCAGCCGTGTTGAAAGATATCACTTTTGCCTTTCAACAACACACAGTCTTCCCTGAGGGAATCAAAGGAAACTGCTTACTGTCACAGCACATTGTAACTATTGGAAAAGAAATGTAATACCTACACCCTATAAGTTGAGCATAAAGAAAAACATCATTTATAATGACAACAAATTCACATAGTTAAAACCATGAAGAACATCTTTTTATAGCCTCATCCCCTAGGCCCTAAGGAGATGATTTGTTGTTTTGCAATAGGCAAACTTGCTTGATCGTGTGACACTGAGTCAAATGAATCAATCAGAATGACACTACAACATTTAAACAATACATTTAATCTAATCTTTAAATAAAATAAATATTTAAAAAACATACAAGAAAGACATAGTACTTTAAGGAGTTTCTTTTACTGCTAAGCATATAAAAAAATACCTCAACAGGAAAATAGTCCACAAACTGAATGGGATGAATAATAACACTGGAAACTGGCTTGTAAGTGATCATTTATAAAGTAGGTGTATATTTGTTTGGGATTATCATAAGGCTTTTTACTATTTTATAGTTCCCATAGAGATAATTTTGCAACCTTAGTGGAAACCCCAAAACAAAAGGAAAAAGCCTAGGTCTTCTGGGGTGAACATTCAGTACAACAACAAAATATTTCCCTCCTTGTGAAACACCGGCGCAAGGCAGGGAAGTTCTAATCTTACATAACGAATGTGTTCAATTCATTAAACAATGACGACTTAAATAACATCCTTATTTAAACAACTGAAGATCTTTAGCCATGTGAAAAAATCATATAGTTTATTAATGGGTGAAACAAGAACATTTATTTTCAATTCTATGTTTCTTTTTGGAATCCTCTATAGCTCATTAAAGACTTTCAATTTATGTAAAAAAAAGGAACACGGGGTGTAAGTGATCATTTATAAAGTGTGTATATATTCTATATGGCTGTGATTATCTTAAGGCTTTTTACCATTTTCTAGCTTTCCTTTTGTCACTTCATTTTTAACTTTCATTACAAATATACCACACAGATATTACACAGTACTGTGGATTGAAATCGGAATTCCTCCCTTGTTCTATTACAAATTCTGCATTATTTTTAGTAAAGAAATCTGTAGCATAGTGTGACAAAAGAAACTGAAAGTGGGGAATCTTCCATGATGTGCACTCTGTAGCAGAATGAATGTGCTGGTCTCACCCCCTTGAAGAGCCTCAGTCTCCTTCTCCCCACTCACAGACCCTGAGATCATGTTCACATGCTGTGTTTGCTGAGTGAGATACTCCTGAAAGTCCTTCACAAAATCCAACGGCTCTGGCTTCTTCTCTCCCATTTTCCCTCTTTACTGCGTTCTGTTGATCTTCACCAAGTTCTCACACCTAACACACAAACATACAGCTCTCTGGAACACCTTCAATTTTTAAGCAAGCTAACACACTATGCACAGTCATTCAAAATAAACAGTTTTACATTCTAACAACACATTTAATTTTTTTCTTCAGATTCCACCTCGAAGTACAGAAATTCGTTGGTTAACAGGCCTACTTTTATATTTTAATCTGACACATACCTATCCCAAATTAAACTCGTTTGTTAAGGCGCCTGTGTGTGTCTGACAATTTCACATTAACTATGTGACTGGGTGGTTTTCTCACAGGATGTTGCTGGAAATAGCCCGCCTACTACTGTGCTTGTACTAGCAGAGGTGAGATATTTGACAAATTTCCAAGACAAAATGCATCTACATTTAAGTATAAAGATGCATACAAAATATATCGCAGGGTCGCCATGAACCTGCGTACCGTTACTTTCTGCAGTTCGCGACAGAGAAACGTGTAAAACTTGCTGGTCACAAGTAAGTTATCTGTCGTTTAGTTTTCATACCATTATGTTTCTCTCGGCAAATAACGGAACATAAATTACTGGCGAAATAAAAGGAATAATTTAGCGGGCTGTTATATAAACGTACTCAGATCACATTTTACCTCTACCAATGATAGAACATTTCTGAGAAAAACGAGAAGACTTGTAGCAAGGATACGTGAAAAGTCAACGCTATGTGACTATTTTCATAAAATAATAGCGAGGTAGTTGAGTACAAATGACATTGCTGAAGACCAGCGCGAACAAGAATAAACACTGACAAAATAATATATAATTATCGGTACTTTAAATCTGCCATTCAGCCTTTATTATTAATTTTAAAATTCAAAATAGTTCCTTGTGCCACATAAAGACTCGGTTAAGTTAACTACCCCCACGATATAAACTAAAAAACACAAGATAAACAGTAGGGAAAAATATCCATGTATCGCAAGGTGCAAGCAACATTTCAGTCTTGTGAAGCAAACCGTTGGTGTTGTTCTCTCGTTAGATGATAAGAAAGCAGCTATTTACCTGCTCGCTGAGTTGTTTACACTCTCCTCCAGCTCACTATTTCACCAGCCTCGAGTACAAAACGGGGACATAAGCCGCAAGTCCAGTTTTTCTCCATGAATTACTATCCGATTATTTTTAATTTAAAAATATTCGAACGATAGCATTTGATGTTTCTGATCCCTATGAGCTCATAATTAAAGTCGGGATTCCCATGGAGACGATTTTGCGATCTAAACGGCAACCCCGAAACAAAAGGAAAAAGCCTAGGTCTTCTGGGGTGAAAGTTCAGTGCAACGACAAAATAGTTCCCCCCCTCGTGAAAAACTGGCGCTGAGCAGGGGAGTTCCTTCCTTACACGGTGACTGCGAGGGATGTGTTTAATTCGATAAATAATGATAATTTAAATGACACATTGAATCAAACAACTGAAGATAGTCACAATTTGAAAGAAAAACATACAGTTTACTCCTGGGCAAAACAATAACGTGTTTATTTTTGGTTCTGTGTTTCCTTGTTAAATGCTCTCCAGCTCATTAAAGACTCGCAGTTTAATCATGTAAAAATATTATTCTTAGCAAATCCACGTTGTTACAAATCGTTAATGTACCACGTTAAAATACAAGCTGTTTTTCACTAATATTTTCATTGCCTTTTCTCAGCTTTGTAACTAATTTAACTCGTATAGCTGCGGTGGAAATATAATTTAAAAATTCCAGTTGCAATAAATACAGTAGGGGCTGTGCTCACAGCATTCATTTTGGATGGTCGCCTTGAGTCCGGGGAGTCTGCCCCTGACGTCATGGTCTTTGCCGGCTGAGCTTGGACAGATTCGGTGGAGAGGCTGCAGAGCAGACTAAGCGAATATGGACACGGGGTCCATAGATATTTCAACTACGGAACAAGTGTTTGCAACAGAAGTACGCTTCTACGGGCTTTTTTTTTAACCTAAAAATGTATATTACAAATAATCACTGTTATATAGATAATATGAAAGTGCATTTATTACTGCCCATGAAATGCTGTGCATTTTCACATTATTATTATTAACAGGCAGATTTTGGATTATTATTATTTAATTAATGTTGACATTGCTATGTCCTTTTGAAAGGAATATGAAAGGAACTGTGACAGTTTCCCTTTGAGACCCTTAATTAAAACACGTTTTTTTCAGATATCTTCAAGAATTGTTCAGTGCTATAGTAGGGTGGTATAAAAGTGCTATACTTTTGTGGTATAAAACAAATTAATAAGTGGATATGTTAAAAATACATTACAAAGCCTCAAAGTAAAACCATTATACATAATTATACATAGGAACAAGTAATAGGTTTATTCCATGCTGAAAAGAGAAGAAAAAACACAACGTTTCAGCTGTGAAGCCTTCTTCAGGTGTGTCAATCGGCTGAAGAAGGCCCACGGCCGAAACGTTGTTTTCTTTCTTCTCTTTTCAACATGGAATAAACCTATTACTTGTTCCTTTGCAGCCTACGCATGCTGACGCAGCTACCAACCTGAATAATTATACATAAGTGCAAGTGAAAGTTAATTTCATGCCTGAATGTAGAAATAGAATATCTCACCTGTTTGTCTCAAGCAAGACAGAAAGAGGCAAACAGATGTGAGAGAAAAACTGGGGAACTGAGAAATATTTTAAACCGTTCAAGCCAAGTACAAAGCAAACCTTCAAGGGCTTAGACACGGTTTATGGTAGGTAGAATAGAATCCTTCTACAAGAACTCATACCCCCCCAAAAAAAAAGCTTTTTTAGAATAGATTATAGATACTGTATGTAACTAATGAGAAAATGGATGACCATGGTTTATAGAGTTTCTACAAGTATTCCAGAAGTGTGTAAATCAAATCTAAACATTATTCCATGGGGTTCAACAAATCATTTAGGAACAATATAAGGGAAAAGAGAGCAATTTGTAAAATTATTAAAAACCCAACAATTTCTAGGTCAAAGAAAAAGAGTAAAGGTAACAGGATAGGTAAAAAGTGAGATTAGAAAGGCCAAGACAAAAATTGAAAGAAATATTGCAAAAAGCTTAAAAATAAAAAAATATACATATTTCACAACTACAACACTAAAAAAAAACATCTAGGATGAATTAAAAAAACTCTGGGAAATAAATGCTTCTGGACAATGAAAGAAAATGGATGATGTACTAAGAGTATTTACTCAGGTGTTAACTAAGAAGTTTAACAACAGGACTCAAGCAGCAAAAAAAAATCTGCACTGGATAGTATAAGCATGGAGGAGGGAGAGGTGTTTGGGTCCTAGAAGCACTCAGGATTAATAAATCCCCAGGAACTGATGGTATTCAATCCATCTTACACAAGGAAAAAATATTTGTACTGTGCTTATGTCTTATACAAGAAACATACTTCATTCTAAGTCTTTATTATATTATTATAAATTGCTTTCTGTAAGGGCGTCCGTCTGTCTGCAATTTTGTGGTTTGACATTGATAAGATCTCTTGTGCTGAAACTTTGATGTCCTTCGTGGATCAATTCAAACCGACCTCCAAGTTCACTGAAGTTTTGCTAATCATCGCTAACAGCGGATTCTTCACGCGAGCGCAGGCAGTATTCGCCTGTTCTCGCGATTTTTCCAGCATGTATACAAACGGATTCAAAATGGCTGCCACCTGCTTGAGGAGTGTGGGGAAGGTGAGTGTAATTGAGCTGGGACACCTGAGCATTTAATGTAGTTTTATAACCGACGCAAGTCATTCTTGATTGCATGCTTTAAAACATTGAGTAGGTAGACGTGTCCCAATTAGACGTTTATTCCTGTACGGTATTGGTATCGGAATGTTCATTGTTGTTAACATGACTGGTTTCGTACTATAAAGCGTCTGTCTTCTGATTATGTAAATTCGTGAATTTTACTCTTACACTTAGTTAATAATAGTGTGTCTCACCGTACTCTTGATTCATATTCCGTGCTGACTAAACTCGGTGGTTGGAGTACTGTACGCATTCATGATTCGTTAATTTTGCGTGTGATTACTTACAGTAATCTATTGAACACTTGAAGATAAAATTGTGTAGTTACAGTGCATATTGTCGAGACATTTCTGATTGAAGACTGTACTTTATCTCCTGGTGGCACTACATTAATATCTCATAATGAAACGTAAGGTTGTTGCTTTTAATACGCTCCAAAAAGCCATCAGTCTTTCAGCGCACCGACCGGCGCACTCCATGTGAACCGAATGCCACTCTCCTGTTGTGATGTTGTCACCGGCAGCTTGGAAGAAGCATTGCTCACCTTTCCAAGTGGGGTCCGCGGTACGGAGCAGCACGATGCATTATGTCAGAGGCAGCGGCCGAGAGAGCAGGAGTGAGCGGGGTACTGCACCTTCCTCTCCAGACCTTCACCGAAGAGGAGAACATGATGAAGGAAGCAGGTTAGGTTGGTTTGGGTGATGACTTGTACAGAACATCAAATGAAAATGTGATCATTTGTGTTTCCCTGGGAGGTGTTCACACTGTGTGCAGATCTTTAGGTTCCATACCAAGTTACCACATAAAAATAAAAGAAACAAACAAAACAATGCTGGATTTATAGCTTGTTTATGTACTAAGTGTGACATAACATGATGATTGTTCACATTTGTTTGTTATTGTATGTGGTACCATGCAATATTCTTTTGTGTTCTCTGCAAATCCAATAAGCTAATTAAACAGATACAACCCAAAACATTGCTTGAAAAGATTTCTTTGGTTACTTTGCACCTTTACCATAATCAAATCTTGCTCTTGGTATCACATTATTACTTTTAAGATTCATGTTTCCTCTTTATTTTTGTCTTCATTTGTTTTTTTTCTGAACAGTCAAGAAGTTTGCCCAAGAACGCATTGCCCCATTAGTATCGAAGATGGATGAGAATTCCACCATGGATGCAACTGTAATAAACGGCCTGTTTGAGCAAGGGGTTTGCATTCTTTTAATCCTTAAGTACCTACAACTCACAAGAGCTTCATACTGAAATAACAGGGCCAGCCCAAACTCAACAAGTGAAACAACAAGCTACATGACTGATCAGGGTTAACACCAGGTACAATTTTCAGGTCAAATCTAAATAAATATAAACTATAGTATACACTCCCATTTCTATAAATGAAAGAAGGAAGGAATGAAGGAAGGCTTCATTACCAGTAAGTTAAACTTTTTCTGAAGCAGGTTTCAGTCAGACTCACCTTGGCTACTTGAAGGTTGAATTTGATAAGCAAAACGGTAAAATACATAAACACTGCTGTTTACATTCCCTTATCAAGGCCAGATATGTCAAGAGATAATGTCAGTTACAGGCGGTAACAAAGTGTAAAGACTCAACAATCCTTTTAATTTTTGTTCTCATATAATGTGCCTACCTAATTGTCACATGAAGTGGAAGTGGCCAAGTGTCTTGAGCTCCACATAACAGAAATACATGATCCTGGCATAGCTGCATTGATGCTGATTACAAGCAAAGGAGGCTGGATTCACTCCTGCTAAGCACTAAAGCTTATGTGATTCATTCCTGAGTACCTCAAAGAATATTAGTTGGAAACACTATAACCATATCCATACTAGAGCATACTAAAGTGATTATAAAAAAGGCTGGTTTAATATAATAAATATTAAATGAAGTAATTGATTCAGAAATACCTGCAGAACCGGTAGCACCTACGGCTTTCAGGTTCTGTAAAGTGGTGCTAATTAACTCCTGTACGTTCTCCCCCCCCATTTCAGCTGATGGGGATCGAGATTGACTCCCAGTATGGAGGAACCGGCTCATCTTTTTTTTCCTCCATCTTGGTGATTGAGGAGCTGGCAAAGGTGGACCCATCGGTGGCAGTGCTCTGCGACATACAAAACACACTGATCAACACATTGTTGATCAAACTGGGCACGGAGGAGCAGAAGGAGGTGTACCTCACCCGACTAGCCAACAACATGGTGAGAGCTACCACAAGAGCACAAAGACCCACCCACAGCAATGTCAATCACACTGGAACAGGCAAAGTTCTCTTCTTAGCTTATAGTTTGTATTGTTGTAAATACTAAAATTATTTTATAATTCAATTGAGCCATATCCTCACAGAGGTAACTGTGACAGTTGAACATTAAGTACCTGTAGACAAAGTTCAGCTTGCCGAAAAGGCTGCTGTTTTCTTTAGGTTTCTCTTAATATGTTCTAATGAAAACCGCTACAAAATAATCATCAGCAGAATAATTGGGCCTCTGTCTTTTGATTATTTTTTATTCATCTTATCAAAATATTGTTTTTCTTCTGTGTTTGCTCCTGGAGATTGGTAGTTTCTGCCTGTCAGAGGCAGAGGCTGGCAGTGATGCTTTCTCATTGAAAACACGGGCTGAGAAGCACAAGGATTATTACGTCATCAACGGTTCTAAGATGTGGATCAGCAATGCGGAGCAGGCTGGGGTGTTCCTGGTGATGGCCAATGCAGAGCCTTCAGCTGTGAGTGATATGAGGAGAGAAGGACCATCTCTCCACCCCCCCACCCACCATCAGCATTCAATCTCTATTTTTTAATTGCTTAACTAATTACTTGACAATATTATGCACCCTTGCAGCACTGCTTGTAGAGGACAGTTTGGACATTTGTAGTCTGATCTATCAATCTGTTGTAACAGATTGTAATGTACTTTGCATTCTGTTAGTATAATATAAGTCTTTTCATTGAATCTAGTGGATTCAGTTTGTGGAAGTGCATTTAAAATGAAGAATAAGATGTGCTGCTAAACTCAAAGGGTTGTGGGAACATGAAATAAGCCTTCCATATGAGTTTGGAGCCAATACCTTGGCTTCCTTCAAGAAATACCTGGATGAGATCTTGGGATCAGTAAGTTACTAAATACCAAATGCACCTGATAGGCTGACTGGCATTTTCTTTTTTATTTAGAACACATTTTGGGCACAATCCACAGTGTCCAATATTAACCAAAAACCTACATAGATGTCATAAGTTCCAGTTTTATGTATTAACTGATGAGTTCCAGCATTTCCATATGTATTGGTGTCCTGACTAAGTGTCCATTCTGCTGGTGGTTGTTCATTGTAATTGTTTTTCTTTCGTTTCCCCTGGTCCCCACCCGTGAAGGCTTACAAAGGCATTACCTGCTTCATTGTGGACAGAGACACAGAGGGACTGCACATCGGGAAGAAGGAGAACAAGCTGGGCCTGCGTGCCTCCAGCACCTGTCCTCTGACCTTTGACAACGTCAAGGTAGACCAACCCTTCACAGACCAACCATTTGTAATAGAGAGCTTTATCTGGGAGATTTTCATTTTGCCTCTTTGATGTAGTGTACCTCAAACATAAGAGACCTGAATAAATTAATGTTTTTTCCCCAGATTTCTTTTCTAGTGTTTAGATGTATCATATTCTTTAAGATACCACCTCTTATTTTTTAAGTAGCTTGTTAAATATTTTATAGTCAATGATTTGTAACTCTTGTAATCAGTTTATACTGTATTACTTGCTTTGCTTCATTTTCAAGGTCATCTTTGAATGGATGGAAACTCTTAAGGAAAACAAGCAACACTCCAGTAAACTGTTTAAAGCAGAATACTTATTTAGTCTTTTTGGACAATTTCAATATCTATAATACCATTCAATCTTGAGTGTTTTAAAAGTTTTCTGTTATTTTTGTTTCAAACCTGTAAACCTCTATAAGATAGTAATTCCTAACTTGTTTCTGTATACAGTGGAACATAAACATCTATCATACCTTGTGAAATCAGAAACTTGGAAGTGGAGAAAACATGTCCTGCCAGACATTTTAATCTTCTCTTGTTTTTTTTTTGTAATATCTTAGGTTCCGGAGAAGAATATTTTGGGAAAATTAGGCCATGGATACAAATACGCCATTGGAATGCTGAACGAGGGCAGAATTGGAATCGCAGCACAGGTCCGATGGCGGGACACAGAATGTTTTATATTTTAATGCTGGGTTGTTCCACTTTAAGAACTTATATATGTAGGTGTGTAAGCATATATTATATGTTTGTGCCCCACAGATGCTGGGATTGGCTCAGGGCTGTTTTGACAACACTATTCCCTATACAAGGCAGAGGGTTCAGTTTGGGAAGCGGATTTTTGACTTTCAGGTAAAGATCGCTACTTGAAAGAGTCTAGGGAGGTTAACAGAGTAGTGGTGTTAGTATTAATTCAGCCACTGAGTGTGTTGTATTTTTTTGGAAAATTGTACAATATAGTTTCAGTGTGTAGCTTTTGAATTTTTCAGTGTGACCTAGTTCAGCATTCAGCCTTCTTGTAACGTTCACAAAATGAATATCAATTATATTAAATTGTCTCAGAAAACTGGAACTGTTGTAAGAATTTGGAAAATACAGAGTAACTTTTCTTGAGCTCATGCTAGTTAGTAGTTGTTAGTGGGTAGTCTGCATGTTCAGCAGTGCTCTACAGTGGTTTTGTAGGGCTTATTGCGAACTGCTGTTTTTTCATTTACAGGGCATGCAACATCAAATAGCACATGTGGCAACTCAGATAGAGGCTTCCAGGCTGCTCACCTACAATGCAACTCGATTGAAAGAGGCAGGGAGGCCCTTTATCAAAGAGGCCTGCATGGCCAAATACTACTGTGCAGAGGTAAGGATTTCAGCTGGTAATCATTGACAAAGTACAACCTAATAATAACCATTAAATTTGGCACCAGCCAAATAATCAGTCTGTAAATGTCATAAAACACAGGAATTATCTAGTGTCATTCTTAGAAATCAAAATACTGGTGTATCACATTAAGGAATAAGCTGTCTGTAGTTCATTCTGGGCCTTTTAGGTTAAATTTCTGTTATTTGTCAAGCAAGAGGCTTCTAAGTGGTCAGATATATTTTATGAACTGTTTTAAACCAGACGGTATGACTGCAATTTTGGCTAACAATTACATATTGGAAACAGAATATCATTTTGTAAAAGAAATCCTTGCATGGACTTTTAAGAAAACATAAAGTATTAAGAACACTGAAGTTCTTTGCACAATGTATGCTGTGAAAGAACAAGAGGGAATTCAAACCACATTGCTTACTGGTAATTAACTGGGTTCCCAGTCTTGGTCCTGGGGTCCAGCACAGTAGTTGGTTTTCATTGCATCTAAGTTCTTTAATTATGAATTGATCTCAAAATTGCTTGGCTGAAACCTTTGAGCAGAAAAAATAATTGTGGAAGTTGGACATTTTAAATTACTTAAAAAATCAGTGGTTGAAAGTACTAGTACTGGGAACTCCTGCTATACACAATTCTGACTTGCATCTGCTTATTTTTATTTCACCGACACGTGATTGCTGTAAGGTTGCGGCCCTAACAACATCAAAATGTATTGAATGGATGGGAGGGGTTGGATTCACTAAGGATTACCCAATAGAGAAATACTACAGAGACTGCAAAATAGGTGAGTTTGTTTCTTCTCATTCCGTGTGGAATGTCATGTGCTCACTCCATTGTTTGAACTCTTTTATCTGCCTTTCACAATATCTTTTACTGCTTACGGTTTTTCTCGGATAAATGAACTGCAGTCTACTACTGTCTCAAAAAGAACATCCTACCCATGGTTTTAGGCAAAAAGAAGTTCTTAAGCAAGACGGGTGAAAAAGCTGTTATCAGAAATGGCCTGTTTCTTAGGTGAAGGATGCAAGCTTGTATTGTGTTAACTACTCCAAACACTGATCTGTGCTACGAGATACATTTTTGAGTCAGGCTTGGAGAATATCTTAATAGCGAACACTCCGGGGGCATTAAAAAAGGCATTGTGGCCAGCTCTTGTCAGTATGAATTAACAAAAAGAGGTGGCCTGTAGTTCCAAAGGAAGCCTGTAACTCGATCTGTCAGCTCTTTGTGCTGCTGGATGTTCTCAAGACTCATTGAATGCCGTAAAATCAGCTGCAGTAAAAGCCTGTCCATCTCTCTCAGGGGCTGTCAGGATAGAATGGCGCTTTCCCTTTCGACAGCTCCAGGGTGGCTCTGTATGCCTCGCAGCCCCTGGGGATTGAGTTGCACTCTGGGCATGTCTTAGTTTTCTAAGTGCCATACATGTGTTTCTCAGATAAGACGTCAACTTTGTAAAAATTCTAACAGAAATTTTGAAAATACATCAAAAGGCATATACTTGGACAAGTAAAAGTTAATTCCGTGCCACGTCAGAGACAAAAAGAACATTTCAGAGGTAGAGCCAGGATGTTTTTCTTCTTTGTCTACATTCTCACTAGAGTTGACCTCAACCGGTTCTGTTATAACTTGCCTGTTGAGGCAGCTCCAGTAGCTCAGTAGCTCTAGCGCAAAACTGATCATATATATTTGTTTAATCACAAGTGAAAGAAGCTACCATTTCCTTCTGCCTTATAAGTGTTGTGTGTCTGTTTGAAGGCAGCTATTCAGTGCTGTCTAGAGGTTGTTCTGCATATTCTATATTGGCAAACGTGCAACACAGCCTAAACAAGCATCTTTGTCTTGCTTCACAGTGGATATATTGCCACTGGGGGCAATATTTAGTATTTTCAACAATCATCTGTATTGGACCTTTAGAACACTCATTTTCACTTTGAAAGATCACAACATAGTACAGAGATGGTGTCTCTGAAGTGTGCTGCATTCTGAAAAAATTAAGGAGTATACTTAAGGTCCTGCTTAATTTGTGATATTGCGAAGTGTTCGGCTTCTTCCACAATTCCCTAAAGTGCAGTACTGCAAAACGCAGCACTGTCAGCTCTAAAGGATCTGTGGCCTGCTCGCCTGACATCCTCCTGTATATCTGTATGTCACTGCTAAGGATTTATTCAGGAGTTGCATTTTTGTCAGATCACTGAGATACAACACGTTGTTGTTGTTCTACTAATTTATAACAACTCATTGAAAGAACATAAGAACATTTATAAATGAGAGGAGGCCTTTAAGCTCATCCATCCCATTTGGTACTTATTTGTAGCTAATTAATCAGCCTGACTCATCTAGAGATGATGATGATATATAAGATAATAAGATCACTCATCTGAAAAATAAAATCGGGGAAAAAACATTAGCTAGGAAAATTAAGTTACACCCCATTTCCTGTTTCTTGCATTTAGACTACATGTGTAAATCAGAACCAATTGACATGAAAGTGCCAGGTGGAGGCACAGATTTATCTGATAGCAAAAAGTGAAGTATCGGTTGATTGTTAAATTTCCAGCAAAAAAGTTAAGAAATGCAGCTTTTTTGGTTAAGTGCAGTGATTGCTGTTTAGATGTATATTTACAGTAAAGAAGCTGCATTGTTTTTATGAATTGCGCTAATTGTTTTTTACATACAAATTTCAGTTTAAGGTAATAGCTGAATTTTTTACAAATTAAACCATAGCTACGTTTCCAGACTTTTACTTTGCCCACAATTGAGCTGCAACGTTTTCTAGTATACCGAATATAACTATTAGGTTTTAGGTATAATATTAGAAAAAAAGACATTCTGAATATACATCAGCATTGTTCAGTTGTAAGTTTCTTTCTGTATCATAGAAACCAAAAAAGCAGGATAAATACGCCACAGGTGGTAATATGGTGACTTTTGGCTTTGTTGTACCCAGCATCAGGACTGCACATATTTATTTCTATATGTTTACTCCTAGGTTCCATATATGAAGGGACCACAAACATACAGCTGACGACCATGGCCAAGTTCATTGATAAAGAGTTCGACGCCTGAACGCTGACGGGGCCCGGCTTTAGCAACCACTGCTCAAAACTAGATTTCACATACTGATCCAGGGCAAATAGGCAAACTGAGGTTTGAGTGAGGAAGATAAGCAGTAGCTGATTTTATGACTTTCATAGAAGTAGTAACTTTTTTGTCGGGACATACAGTTATTCTGGTTGTCCACAAGAGATCACTACATAGAATCCATGGGCCGCTTGCATTATGTAAGTAAAATAAACTGTTTCATTATAACTGATCATTATTTCATGGTAATGAATGTGTGTTCTGTAGGTGCAGGTGTCTATGCCTATATCCATTTCCTCTTTGTGAGCTGTCACTCTTTACATGCCTTCTGTATGGCTTGTTGCTTTTTAGTGGGGAAAAAAATGCCCTAAATCTAACCAAAAAAAGTTATATGCCAATCATTTTTTAAAAAGGTAACAAAAATAAGTCTGTCTTTGTGATAGGAGCTGCTAAAATGTTTCTCGCATAATACTTTATATCTATCTGTTACACAACCATAGAGACTGTTCAGAACAGTACTGAAGTTACAGAAGAGCAAAGTGAGGTAATAATTGAACTGCATTGTCCGGAACCCCTTATACTCTTTTTGTTTAGGTTAAATATAACTTATTTATGTTCACTCAATGCCAGTACCAGTCCAAGTGTAACGTTTCCTTCGTGAGTGTAGATATTTTCTTGTGCTGTTAATGGTGCCTCCAGGTCAGTTTTGTGGAACAGTATTCTAACAGAGCACATGCTAAACTGACCGCTGAAGAACTATAGACTTGGTGGACAGTAAAGATTATGTTCTTGATTTTCAAAATATTTCACACTTCTTACGCATTGCTTGTCTATGAAATCACTTCCTTAATTGTGCCTAACTGCACCTAAAGCTCAAGCAAACTATTTTGAAGTCTTCAAAAATTTTGAAAGATGTAATTGGACTTAAGTAATCATGTACATTGTCTGCTGAAGTAGCAATGCGTAGATACATTTTTTTTTCTCCAGGTTATGTTAAGCTCTATCACTCAAGTGTCAAGGCCACTGCAAGGTTTATTTTGTGGCATTTGTATGCCGAAAGTGAGGGAGAGCAGATATCGTAACGATTCGAGATTTAAACGGCTGGTCTCGGGGGCTGTTGTACGCTCGTTTCCTGATGCTTGGAGCCGGCCTGGTGGTTCTCTGCTCCGACGCTTGAGTAGTCCTCACCCAGTCTGTATCTGGATGAAGAATCCTCATCCTGTCCAAGATGTGTGCACTCACTGTTGCCACAATCCCAAAGGCCCTCATGAAGGCAGGTCCACTCCTGCAGTAGGCTTCCTCTAGCTGCAAGGATCCGTTAAAAACAACAGAAAATACATTTAGACTAGTTATAACGAGATGTGGCAGAGATGACATTTTGTCAATGGAGTATGATCTAAAAACTTTTTAATACCTTTAATAGGACCAGCGCTCTGTAATACATATAGGTCAGCTCTACACGGGAATCAGGAGTTCAGATGCAGTCAGATTTTGAACACCTGTCATATGATTGTAAGCACATAAGCACAATTGTGACAGCAGTCTTTTCAACACTGAATCATATCAAATATTACTTGAAGAGCATTAGAATGAAATAATGTATAATTCTCCTGTAATATAGAGTTGCATAACTGAAAATAGAAATTGGGAACAATTCTTTGTTTTGTTCTTATTTTCAGTAAATGAATGTAACAAGAAGATATACATCAGGATTTCAGTTTGTTAAACAAACCATTGGATGTATGGTTTAATAAAGGCTAAAAGAACAACTCACCTGTGCACGGTTTTTCTCTGAATTAGCTTTTAATGTTTATAAGTTTCATATTTTTTTATAACCCATGGATTTTCAGAGGACCTTTATGATGGGGATAGAGGGTGACGGGAAAATTCTGAAGGAAGAGTTGACATAGAGGTCAAATTATTGAAAAAACTTATTTTTGTACATTACACAACTGTAAACATGTTAAAATACTAGATAAATAATATAACAAGTTTATAATATTCTAACATTACACGTTTTGTAGCTATACCTTTTCATAAAGGCTGTATTTACACTTTCTTTTCTACAGCTGATTACGCTCCTTGTTCCACACTTGTATTTCACCAAAATGCTATTTCATCTTCAGCCACTAGATGGCAGCGACGGCCAGTTAAAACCTGCTCTTTGTTTCCACTGGTGTTGCTCACTTGCCTGTGAAAGGAGCAATTGTCGGACTGTGACCCTCACAAAGCAAAATACTGTAGTCTTTCACACGGCGATCTGAGTCGAAAATCTGAATCAATGTGATTTTGTTGCATATCATTTAATTGAAAATTAACCATGCAGGCAAAGCGATTTTCTGAAGAATAAATTCCAGCAGTTTAGAAACCCCGTAAGAGGGCCTTTACATCCAAGGATTTAAGCAGATGCATAGGCATCTGAGTGTGTGATCATGGGTTCTTACAATAACCGTTAATTCCATTTTCTGTTTAAAGTGGTTGTTATACTTCCATCTGTCCCTTTTCTAATTACTTTATCCAATTTAGGATCGCAGGGCACCCAGAGCCTATCCAGCCAAGCAATGTATGCAAGGCCAGATACAACTTGAGCAGGACTTCACTCCAGTACATGTCATACATAAACACTCTTCCTCACACAAGGGTTAATTAATTAAACTACCAGTATGTTTTTGGACTATGGTAACGGTTTTGGAAACTGGAGCACCTGGAGGAATCCCACAAGAACATGGGGAGATCATACAAACTCCACGCAGCACCCCAGGAATTTAACTCAGGGCCCCAGTGCTACAAGCCAGCAATGGTAACCACTGTTCCCCCTTATTGTTATGCATTACTCTAATAAATACTGTATGCTAATAAAGCTGTTATGTATGTAAATAATATTACATTGTTTTGCATTGTCTAAATGCTTTTTGTGAAAGACATTCCCTGAAAATCTATTTTGTCTTTGAAGATATACATAGTGTTTTTGGACATGAAGAAGTATCAATGCTGTAAATTTCAAAGAGTTATGGAACAGAGGTTGAGGACATGATGGGGTGGATACTTTCTAACCACTGAAGGAAGCCTAAACCTGTTTATTTTTAATGAAAATCCCTGAGGTTCAGACTGAGAATAGACCTAACAGCCGGCTTCCCTCTCACAGGCCCACTGCTACCAAGAGGACAGTCAATTACAACACCTTCTAATGGCCTGTCAGCACTAATGTTATTTTATTGCAATTTAATTATGCTCAGGTTTCAGATTGAGGGAACTCAGTTTAAATAATTTACTTGCAGTGACAATAATTTATCATTCAAAAGGGATTAATTAGGGATCTGTTCATTATTTTATCTGTTATTAAATGATAACTTCTTAAGCCGTACAGCCTCAGTAAGTTGCATTTAAAAGCTGTCTTAGGTGTACACTTTACATTACTATATTTTAAAAATGGAGTGAAAATAACATCTATGATTAATTACCAGAGCTTTCTGAGAAGAAGTGACAGGAATGTCTACCTTTTGACCCATTTAATTACACGTTTAGGATCACAGAAATGTTCAAATAACTCACAGAGAGGGTGATTAGACAGGATCTCACGTATGTTAACATAATTAGTCGCACACATCTCCATAATATGCAGGCGTAAAAGGGCAACTGATATTAATGGGTATCGAAACAGGTTACAATGATAGCCTGTTTGACATTAACCACCAGTAATACATGGGGCACAGCACTTCGAAATATTGGAAAATTAAATTGTAATGACTTAATCTGCTCAAATTTAAATATTGTTTTGTAATGAACTCTCTCTTCCCTTTGTTCCTGATACTGCTTGACAACCTGTGTAAAATGCAGAAAGAACGTGTACTATTATTATTATTATTATTATTATTACCATCACTACCACCATTATTACTGCCATGTCTGGTTATTACTAAGAAGCGCTCAAAGAACGTCCATTTATTCCAATGGGCAATTTTTGTGAACAATACCATCCACATCCATTACTACACAAATGAATTTTAATATAGCATCCTGAGTGTCGAGCACTGTACAGAATAAAGAGAAATGGGACAGTAAATGTGCACTTCAGTTTCGCAAACAATACCACGTTCAAAAAGATTTCTAAATGTGCTTCTCTGTAAAGGTTTTCCACCTGTTTTGTGAAACAAAACGTAAGGTGCTGTGTTAGACAGGGAGAATATAGCTGTCTGGTGCTAGACGTACATGCATGTATATTTATGTACCTGCGGAGTGGTACTTTTGTTAATTGCTGCATGCACTTTGGTGTTTAGATTGAATACAGGTATTGTTTTGGATTAAGATCATTTAATTAAGGTAAATGATTTTTCCAGCAGGTTCTAACCCATTTCACATGGGCAGTAGCCCTGCTGTGCTTGGTGTAGCTTTTCATTTTTATTATCTCATGATGCCCTGAATATGCAGCCCCCCAGTTTACACCTGCTTACCAGGAAGTCACAGAGTTATCCACTTAGACTAATTCAAATTTAAAGGGGGTGAATTAAAAGGCCTGTGTCTCCTCTAAACTGGTTGATTTATGTGCTGTTTGCAGTTTTATAGAATACAAAACAATTAATTTACATCTGAAAAGAACTAGGAATTAATTCTGAGAAGCCCCGAAGCTCTTTCAAGACTTGAGTCATATGTTGGGCTCATTTAAAAGCTGCATAGGAAATTAGCCCTAAAGAAAGGCTTTTAATTTTTGAAAAGTGCAGCTATAGTAACTGTCTTCAGAACCACCGCAGCTAGATCATTACTCAAGAAAGGTTAAGGAGGACTTTGGCAGCATTTTTTTCTTTCTCTGAGACTATTTATTCTTCAAGTTTCTATCTCCACATGAGGCATTTGAAAAAGAAAATGGGGGGAGATTAAAAAGAGAAAGAACATACTAAGCTTTTCATTCCCTTACCACTTAATTTCCTTGCTACCATGCCAGGCTCAGCCTAATGAATGTAATTGCTACCTTTGATGAAAATACTATTATCTAGATCACACTTTACATTGACAAGCAGTCCCCCTCTCTCCTCCCCCTTCTTTCTGACACAGCCATGAGATCTCTAATTATGCACTGAACAAGTGGCTTTTCACAAAAGAGCATGTTGTCCACAATTACTAAGAATTGGAGCAAGCTACATTTGCACAAAAGACAAATTAGATTTGCTATATGCTCCACAAAACCCATTCCCTTGATTAATTTCCTGCGTAAACCAAAGCAATTTTTTCACCCACTATCTAGCTTTAAAAGACAAACTTCCATCTCTTGAATGATGTGCTTACTCAATGGACTGACCTGCCAGACATATATCGACAAAGAAGGATTAAGGATCTCTGGACACAGGTCTTGAAAAGCTATCTACAATGTGATCTTTTTTTAGAAAAATAAATATCTCACCCCCAACCCATCTTTGGTAGTGTACCATCTCTGTCCTTGCTCAACTTTCTAAGGTACAGTTGTTAACAGATTGCCCGGCGTGATGTTAATGAACTGTGCAGCTGTGGATGTATTAGCAGAGATTGAGACCCCAATTACCCCCCAAAATATACAGTACTTAAAATGTTTTTTTTTTTCAAATAAAGCCAACACATGCATCAGGAGAGGTGTGATTTCTTTTTCAGAAATGATAAAGATTACGTGCCAACACTTGTGAGGTCTGATTTTTTTTGCCAAATTGTCTTAACATCTCTGTTCGGTTACCAGTATAAGTAAGCACTGGTAAATTCTTGTATTTGAAGTAAAATAAGGTTGAATTTAACTTATGTGTTTTTAATTTGTTATATAAGCACAGGCTTGGTTGTGTAAATCTACATGATCATCTTTGTAATATATGTGCATTAAATGTCTGTTACTTGTCATGTCATCTTTATGCAATAAGAAATAACTTATGGAACATTTAAGACATATGTATACTCTCTCCACTAACTTTCTTAGTGCATGCCTTTGATAATTTTATATTTTAAAAATAATTGGTGTAATTTTGGTGAAAGTGGATTAGTAGTGGGGCTCAGTGCAAAATAGTTATTGACGGTAGAGAAATAATGAATCATTGCTTTTGTTTTCAAAGTCATGATGCCTATGGATGTCTCCCAGGTGCTCGTACAGTAAAATAATGTACAACAGTGTGGTCACATGCCTTTAAAAGGTTTATTTCATCTGAAACAGGCTACCATCCGGTCTCAGTCAGATATTAGAAGGATCGGGCAATATTTTTGATTGAAGTGGCATTTTACCAGTATTTATCTGAGACTCTGAATCCCAAAACCATGGGCTACAAATAAAGAAGATGGGATAATAGCTTTTGACTGGACCAGTTGCACTCAGCTTGGAATGAAGTGTCCGGTTGTGAGTTATTGTGACCAAACGCCATTTGTACAGGTTGAAAAGTGGGAGCATTTTTCTAGCTTGTCACCCAGTAGCTATAGTTCATTCTCTTGAATGATATCTCTGAACGCACAGTTGCCCTATTACGAGCTTTTCACTCACAGTCCAGAATGTTTTAATGGATTGGTCTGTCCCTGGGAGGATAATTTAGAGAAAGCTCAGCCACATTCTTGAACATTCTTAGCTGCGCTGGGCAGGGTGTCCATTTGTGATCACACTGTATGAGCACTGAGAGCACAGTCAGTCTCGAACATCATATTGTTGCTTCTTCCTCATACTTTTTTTTTTTTGGGGGGGGGGGATTTCCAATTCTGACCACTAAGTACCAGGGTGTGATGTGATAGCTGTATTGAACATTCCCAGTATTCCATTTTCTACTGTAATTGT